AAGAAGTATCAGTTTATTGAGAAAAGTCAAGAAAAAAGAATTCTGGGGCCAGATCAATCAGAGAGAGTTTGCCTTTTCTCTATTCTTTGATGAAGTCAGTGATATGATGGTAAATGTTTAATGACTGGATATCTGGGAGAAACACCGGACTTGTAAGGTCTTCCAATTTATGTGGCTTAAGTACTCCTATTATGGCTGATTTTAAGCTGCCAATATGATACCACCAAACATGGAGTTGGTTACAGGTGTGCAGTAGCTCAACATTATATAGTATTTCTACCACAGAGATACAGTAGACATAAACCTCAAGAGCATAGATAACAGAGTTAGTAGCAAAAGGAAGTGATGAGTTTTGAGGATTTATTACTGTTATTCATAATATCCCTTAAGGAGTAAATTATATAATTTAATGTTTAATAGTGACTATGTTAAACAACTGGCTCCTACAATTTCTGAACATTTTGCAAACAGCCATCCAGAATCCACAAGAGCCAACTCCAGCTTACCACTTAGAGTATTTCATAGCTCAGATATTCCTAGAGAAAGGCTCTAATCCGTCTACCATGGTTGTGGTGTCTCTTTTGACCCTGTTAGCCATGTCCCAGGAGGTGAACATGGCTATAGAAACCTAATAGAAGAGAAGTTTCTGGAGGAAAATTGGCTTATTGGTTGGGTATACCCCCTAAAACGTACTGCAATCCCTATTTTATCTATGACTGTATCCTCCAAGCAATTATTAAAATAGTATTCCTATGAGACTGCCCAAGAAATGTGTTTTGAGCAACTGGGGCATCCATAGTCAGTATAAAGAAGATAGAGTTGGTAATGGTCATCTGTGATGGTGGTTTCATACCTTTCTGCATATATACTGTTTTAGGGATTTAAAAAACATACTAACCCAGCATCTTTTTAGGTAGACATCTCTAAGTTTGGACATTTGCAAAGAATGCAATTTCTGGTGTACTGTACATGTTGGGACTTATTTGTAAAAAAAAAATTTTTTATTGCATTTTAGGTTTTCAGGTACATGTGCAGAACATGCAAGATAGTTGCATAGGTACACACATGGCAGTGTGTTTTGCTACCTTCCTCCCCTTTACCCACATTTGGCATTTCTCCCCAGGCTATCCCTCCCCAGCTCCCCCGCCCCCACTGTCCCTCCCCTATTCCCCCAATAGACCAAAAATTATATTACTCATTTAAATGTATCTAATGTAACTTAAACGTCAAACCTATTTAATACTTAGTTTCATTCATTTAATAAATGTACAAACCATTTGCATCATTGCTTTTTCCCCTTGAATTCGTATTTCTATTCCCTACAACATTTTACCTAATAAAATACAGCTGATACTTGAAAGTCTTTCATTCATCAATCTATAGAAATAGGCTTATATTTGAAAGTTCTTCATTGATTAATCTGTATTTTCCCATAAAAATGTATATGCATGTTTAGATTTAGTTATCTTTACAATTATTAATAATAAGAAAGTCAGCTCTGCTGGAAGTCAAGACCATACTGCAGCTCTGAGAAGTATTTTGAAGTGACTGCTACTTTCTTACTAATGACATCCAAACTCCACTTCCTTCCTCTGTTCCTACCACTCAAGAGAATTACTAAGGTACCCAATTGTTAAACTATCTAGCTTCTTGACATTATATGATACAAATATGGCCCTGCTTCTCTTAGCTCTCCTTAAAATCTAGCACAAGCTCAAATCTTAGAAGAAACTCCTCTCAACTCCCTCTTACCAATACACCATGGTTTCCTTGGTCTGTGCTCTCCTCTACTTGGACAAGCTAAATAAACCTAACTTTAACTTGGTATTCTCCTGGTAGCCTTTAACTGGTGGTTTCAACAATAGGTACACTTAATACCATATAAATACATCACAATTTTTTAAGCAAATATAATATTTGTTGAAAATGCATCTCTTGGCTGGGCACAGTGGCTCACGCCTGTAATCCCAGCAGTTTGGGAAGCTGAGGCAGGCAGATCACTTGAAGCGAGGAGTTAGAGAGCACTCTGTCCAACTAGGTGAAACCCTGTTTCTATTAAAAAGCAAACAAACAAAAAATTAGCCAGGCATGGTGGTGCACACCTGTAATCCCAGCTACTTGGGAGGCTAAGACAGAATTGCTTAAACCGGGAGGCAGAGGTTGCAGTGAGCAGACATCATGCCACTGTACTACAGCCTAGGCAACAGGGTAAGACTCTGTCAAAAAAAGAAAAGAAAAGAAAGGAAAGAAAAGAAAGAAAGAAAAGGAAGGGAGGGAGGGAGAGAAAGAAAGAAGAAAGGAAGGAAGGAAAGAAAAGAAAAGAGAGAGAGGGAGGGAGGGAGGGATGTCTCATAAAGACAAATACAGCTCCTCCCATATTAGTTCATGTAGCCATAGATAGCTATTACTTATTGCTAGGTTATTATTCATTGTCAATTATACTATTACATTTTAATTTTATATTATGTAAGCACTGAGAAAACTCTCCACATATGAAAAAGTATGTCTTTTCAAAATCATTCATTTTTTAGAATTCCTGAATTGTATGCAAAAATCACATTGATTCATGATCAAAAATTATTTTGAATGGTCAGCTGACCATTGGATTTGGTCTTCCAATTTTGTTGAAAGCAAAACATTGGAAACTGCCTGGTTTGCAGAAGGATTGTAATGAAAACATTCGTTATTTATTTGTCATCTAGACAACAAAATGTCAGATGTTGCAGAGATTTTTATGCATGGTATGTACTTTAGTATATTCAGGATGAACACAGAATTATACCTCCCCTTTGGAAGAAGAAAAGAACACTATATTTGTGAAGGGCAGCATGAATACAGTGGTTCTCAGCCAAACCAGTTTTAGCAAAGAATATATATGGAAGCTGTTAAATTAAATTTAACTTAAGCTGCCTCCTTACATATTCTAAGTTCAGCCTAAAGGTTTCTCCCTACCTAGTGAACTATAACCTAACTGGATGTGTAAAGAAACTACAACCTACTTACTCTTTGACATTATACAGTACAAATCTGGCCCTGCTTCTCTTAGCTCTCCTGAAAATCTAGCACAAGTCCAAATCTTAGAAGACACTCCTCTCAACTCCCTCTTACCAATACACCATGGTTGTGCCAAACACCAAACATTTACTTTTAGCGAATCAGAGCTGGCGAACTGTTCAAACCATGTTCAAATAAAGCAAACAGTAAGCTGTAACTAATCTGGCTGTTTCTGTACTTCACTTCTGTTAAAAGAGAAACTTCAGCTGAATTAAATTTAAAAGAGTTTAATTGAGCAATGAAAGATTCGTGAATCAGGCAGCCTCCAGAATCGTAGCAGATTCAGAGAGACGCCAGGGATGCCTAGTGGTCAGAACAAATACATAGACCAAGAAAAAAAAAAAAAAGGGAAGTGATGTACGGAAATCAGAAGTGAGGTGCAGAAACATCTGGAATGGTTACAGGTTGGCGTTTGCCTCATTCGAACTGTTTGAACACTCAACAGTGCATGAGTGATTGAAGTATGGCTGCTGGGATGGGCCAAGACTGAGCTAGGTACAGGTGCTTACTTTTAGGTTAGGTTTTCAATCTTGTCTACCTTTTGTGAAAGGAAAATCTTGGTGCCCCAAATGACAAATCTAAAGGAGAAAGTAAAGCTGGCAACTACTCAGGGCAAAACCTGCCTCTCATTCTATTCAAAGTAATTCCTCTGCTCACTGAGATAGATGCATATTCTGATTGTCTTCTTTGGAAAGTTTTATCAGAAACTCAAAATAATGTAACGATTTGTCTCTCACCTCCCTGTGAGCTGAAAAACCCATCCCTGCTTTGAGTTGTCCCCACCTTTCTGGACGGAACCAATGTACATCTTAAATATATTGATTGATGTCTCATGTCTCCCTAAAATGTATGGAGTCAAGCTGTGCCCCGACTACCTTGGCCACATGTTATCAGGACTGCCTGAGGCTGTGTCACTGGCACATGTCATTAACCCTGGCAAAATAAACTTTCTAAATTAATTGAGAACTGTCTCGAATTTGTGGGTTTCACACTGTTGAGTTAGGTAAACATTCCTCCACAAGGATTCAGATATAGAAGTACGGAGTCCTTCTCAGACCACATTTAGTTTCTGTTTTCTGTACATCACTTTCCTTTTTCCATCCATAAATCTTCCACCAGGGGGCTGGCTGCGATGGAGCTGCTCTGAACCTATTCTGGTTTGGGGGGCTGTGATTCGTGAACCATCCTTTGCTCAATTAAACTCTATTAAATTTAATTTGTTTAAGGTTTTTCTTTTAAAAAAGCTGAGAGTCTGGAAATTTAATCCCTTAAAATATCCCCTTCTGTGAAGAGCTTGGAACGTCTTGTACTCTAAAGCAGAGGCAGAAACGTAGCTGAGCATGGAACCAACTGCACCAAGAGGGATTAAAAGAACTAGATGAATTGCTCTAGTGTAGATAGTCAGAGGCATCCAAATAACAATAGGTTTTACCAAGGGGGTCAACCACTCAAAATTCATGGTAGAGGCTTCCTTTCTCTAGACAGCTTAATGAGTATAGTACAAATTCGCCTCAGACAATAGCCTTTTTTTGCTTTTCGATACTTTCTTTAAGGGTGAAAGCATTGAATCAGATTCTCTTGAAATCCTGCGGCCTGGTGGAAGTCACTGATTTTTGCTAGTCTGTATTCATTGTTTTCGTGCAGACTATACTGTTTTTCTCTCAGAGGCATCTCCTCCTACCCCGAGCCTCACACTACTGGGGTTTCATTTGTTTTAAACCTTGGTTGAAGGGGCTCTCTCTCTGGAAAGTAAAAAGACAACGGATTTAGCTTCAGTCCAGGACAGAAAGCATAACGCCTGATTCCTGGATAGAACGTGCACAAGGAGAGCACGTAAGGTCTGCTCTCCGTGGGACTCAGCCCGGAGAGGCCTTGGAAATCTCTAGGTGTCAGCCCACGGAACCCCACCTAGCACAGGGACCGCTTTGCCGCTCCAGACTCCACACTCAGGCCCCAGAACACAACTCAACCTACTAGATCCAGGGAGCCAAAGCACGCAGGCGCAAACCGAGAAGCGGGAAGTAGAAGGCTAGCGGCACGGGCGCGCGCACGCGGCGTCCAGGCGAGGCGGGAGCGCGCGCTGGGGGCGGGCGCTAAAGCTCTGCCATGGGGTTCGCGGGGTACTAGGGCGCTGGGCGCCGGGCCCTCAAGCATGGCTTACAGACCGAAAAGGAATTTTCGGCAGCGCGCGGCCGATTCCAGCGACAGCGATAGCGCTGAGGAGTCGCCTGCTGAGCCTGGGACGTCGACGGAATTTCCGGCCCCGGGCCCCGCGGAGGAAGAGCCACCCTCTGGAGGAGGCCGCGCGCAGGTGGCGGGACGGCCCCACCGGATTCGGGGACCTCGCGGCCGGGGCCGAGTCTGGGCGAGCTCTCGACGCGCCACGGAAGCGGCTCCCCGCGCGGACGAAGGCTCGGGCGTCCAAGGTGACGCGGGGAAGCGGGGAGGTGACGACGGCACGGGGCGGGAAGGGGCCGCGGGGTGTCTGGCTCCTTCTCTGGGGGTTCTATAACTTGCTGCCGTCCATCAGCCATGCAGTCATATCCTGAAGGTAGTGAGCGAGTAAACAGCTAGCCTTTGAGCACTTGCTGGCTGCCTGCGTCCAGCTTTTGGACTCCTTAGAGGAGAAAAACAATCCTGTACAGTTTGGAAGTTCTTCGTTTTCACCATAAGATGACTCCACTAGTTAACTCTGTTACCAAAGTTTGTGAAGAACCTAACTTGTCACAACGGAGTTCAATAATTTCTAATACTCTTTAAGTAGGCAGAAGTTACATGTACGTTTTAGACACTTGCCCAACTTATCTTTCTTGAAAACATTTAGTCAGAATAGTACAAGAATCTAGGTTTTGGAACATTCCCCTTTGCCTGTTTTCTTTTTTTCACCAATTATTTGCAAAAACTACTAAAAATAATATATACAACACGAAGGAGCATGATAGAGCTTCGTGACACTGTAGATTTTGCCGGTAATGGTGTTAAATACAGTGTTCATTTTGAAGTACCTTTGAGTTCTTAAATACAGGTTTAAGGCAGCCTAAAGTTGTTTACATAAAATGTGCTGCTCTGAGTTTGAATTGTAGCTTAATGAGGAATACAGTTTTTGGTTAGCCTTGGATCTGAAATCTTCCGACTATTTTTTATTCTCATTAAAGTGATTTTTAATTAATTTCTTCATTGAGAAGTAACAATTTTATATACTTAATGGTGCACAACATGATGTTCAAAATGTGTCTAAAGTGGCTAAATGGAGCTGATTAATATTTGCATTACCTCAGATACTTTTTTTGTGGTGAGAACGCTTAAAAATCTGCCCTTAGTAATTTTCAAGCATGCAGTGCATTGTTATTAACTTTAGTCACTGTGTTGTAGGATAGAATTCCTCTTGTCCGATTAAAGTGTTGTGCCGTTTGACCAGTTTCTCCCCAACCACCCTCAACCCCAGTCCCTGCTAACCACTAGGAGACTCTCTGCTTCTGTGATTTCTGATTTCCACCTTTGAGGAATACACATTTGAGATCGTGAGATGTTTGTCTCTCTGTGCCTTTTTTATTTCACGTAACATGATGTCCTCCAGGTTTATGGTCTTCGTGATTTCTTGGTTTTTCTTGTGACCTTCTGTTTGTCTAAAGTTTCCATGATTTTTGTCTCTGTTCTCTGGTTAAACTTTGTAGATGAAAATCGAAGTCATTTCTATGTTTTCTCTTGCCTTCTAGAATAGTGGTTCTCAAACTTTTGGTATTTGGACCTCTTTAGATCTTAGAAATGATTAAGGATTCCAAAGAGCTTTTGTTTCAGTAGGTTATATCTATCAATATTTACCATACTAAAAACAAAAATAAAATGGATTAATTCATTGAACAAATCTGTTGCATGTAAGAACAAGTAAGATTTTTGTGAAAAAATATTTCCCAAAAAGAATAGTAGCATTGTTTTCAATTTGCAGATGTCTTCAATGTCTGGCAAAATATTAATAGAAGATAGCTGAATTCTCGTAGCTGTTTCTGCTTTTAATCTGTCGTGCTATGTTGTTCTGGTTGAAGAATTTGAAGAAAATACAGCCTCTGACAGATAAATGGTTAAGACCAATACTTAATCGCCTTTTTAGATCGAGGGTGTTGTGCTTTAATATGACAAAGCTCAAAGAGTAATAAACTAACCGTCCTTAAAAGTTAGTTGCCCCATGTAATCTTAAACCATAGGATTAAATTTGGGGTGTGCTTACATAAAACTCTGTTCTGTTTTGTACTTTGGATCTTTTACTCCTGCACGGTTGGTAACATCTTGCATTATTTGGAAAGTTCATTACCTGAGTTTGCAGCTCTTGCAAATGTTGGAGCATTTTATTGTACAACACCAAAAAAAAAATCACTTAGTATTACCACTGATTAATCAGTCTTTAAGTATTGGAAAGCTGTTAGGTTCACAGTAGAGAAAATAGATTTTTCAAAATCTCAATTTTCACTTGAAATCTCTCATTCTGGAAGTGATAGTTACAACTTAGCTCATGTCTGAGGAAATGTAAGATAGCCGTCTGAATAACTAGTTTGTTTGTTAGTCATTCTTTCAAGAAAATGATGCTTCTCCTTAAAAACAATGTCTAGTTCAGCTTGCAACACAGTCACACAAATGCTTTTCCTTAAGGCAGTCGTTACATATCAAGATGCAGCCAAAGTGCCTTATGCAAACTTCCATTTTGTCACAAAGAATATTAAACACGTGTGTACTCAAGGGTCAAAATTTGATAAAATAAGAATTTTTTAATTACTTTTTGAAGAGCAACTGGCTTTTATTTGCCAGTGTGCAGTGATGAAAAATACCATAACTGCTACAACAAATTGATTCATGCTAAGGGGATAGCTGTTTTACCCACCACTGCCTTTGCTTCATTAGATAAATGTCAACATGGCAAAAACAATAAATAACATGTTAGTATTGTGATTAAAGTAGTTTTGATTTCCCAGACTCTCTGAAAGAGTCTCAAGGACCTCCGGGAATTGATAAACCATGCTTTGAGAACCACTGCTTTGGTGTTAATCCACTTTGGAAACAGGTATGGGTTGTCATAATGGCAGTTATCTAAGAAAGATGTGAGCTGCAGCTGCATTTTAAGTTTTGATTTTACTCTAGCCTTTTTTGAACTGTATGTAGGTCTTCTAACTAAGGTAGAAATTAAAATTAATGAGTACTATGTAATCTTATGTTTTAAGATTACTCATAAACGTGTAGATTTATTGTGGGTTAACAAATCCTTTCTTGGCAATAATGTCAAGAATTCCTTTATTTTACTCACTTAATTTTCACAACACCCCTATGGTTTTTATCTTGATGTTATCTTTAACAGATTACTTGAATTTAACAGGCTATGTGACCTTCCCAAATCATGCACTGAAAAGATAAACCCGTGGTTTAATTTTGACCAAAGTGCTTCTTACAATATTTCTTGCTACCAGCCACTGAACTATGGCATACTCTAAAGAGAGCCTAAACTCTGGAGTTGGATGGGATTAGGTTGAAAGCCCTGCTTCTCCACTCATTGTGTTGGTATTCTTCATCCTCACCATCCTTAGCTCATCAGAAATAGCGTTTACTTTATAGAACTACGAGTATTAAATAAGTCATGTAAAACAGATTTCAATGTGTCTAGCACATAGTATACATTAAATCTTGTTTTTCTTTTCTACTTATTCACTGTTATTACTTTTCTAAATATTACTTCAATTTTTGTCTCTTTTTTTTTTTTCTCTAATGCCTGCTTCCCTCTTCTCATTACATCTTTTTGGAAATATATTATTAGATGCCTAGATAATACAGATAAGATCTTTGTACACTTAGTAGATCATTCAGTTGTTTAAGGAAGATGGGAAGTTGGAGGAAGATCAATATGTCTACTTTAATATGTGGAGTAGGTTTAAAACACCATATTATGCATATGCCATGTATTCAGATTTTCAATTACTGATTCCATTATTTTGACTCTTATTATGTTTTTGAAATGTCCTGTTAGAATCCAGAACAGTTGATGTGTCAACAGATGAAGAGGATGAAATACATCACTCCTCGGAACGTAAGGATGATCAGGGTTTGTCTTCTGACAGCTCTAGCTCTCTTGGAGAAAAAGAACTGTCATCAGCAGGTTAGTAATTTGTATGATTTTGGTTAAGAATTTTATTTTTAATACAGTGTTTTTGATATATTTATTGATAACAAAACAAACGCTAGTGACATGGGGCAAGTAGGTTATTAATAATGATTGTCAGAGTGCCCAAATTGACTGCTCATTTTTACTACATTTTAACATGCACAGGTCAGACAGCTTATAAGTATCAGAGGTAGGATATAAACCCAGTCTTTTCTAGAGCCTGTATTCTTCTTAACCAGTGTGCTATGCTGGGTGATTGACACTGACACCTGAAGGATGGTAAGAATTTGTCATGGAGGACGTTTCAGGTATAGGATGTAGCATATTTGAAACTCTAGAGAAGGTATATAATATGTGCAGGAAACTAAAACTAGCTCTGTTTGGTGGAAGCTATTTGGTTGGGAGTTTAAGGAAAAGAAAACAGGAGGGACAAATTGGAGTCATATTTATACAGGGCTTAGGCAACCACTGAATATTTTATGCAGATGACATGAAAGTTTTTGTGTCTTAGAAAGATCAGTCTAGTTCAGGAGTTGGCAAATCTGGCCCACCACCTGTTTTTATAAGCGAAGTTTTATTAAAACACAGTCCCCGTCTTTCAATTACTTATTGTTTGTGAGTGTTTTTGCACTGTAGCAGCAGAGTTGAGAAGTTGCAACAAAGAACTTATGGCCTGCAAAGTCAAAAATATTTATCTAGTCTCTTAGAGAGGTTTATAACTTGTTTTGTCCTTTTTCAGTGTAGTGAAGCCTAGGATGCTTTATGAGAAAATAAAGTAAAATACGTAGCTTTGTAAAGGAAACAAATTATATTGAAATAAAATTATTAAAATATGTTTTATAAGGCTTATAATACAGTAATAAGTGCTTCTTTATTAGTTATTAAATAACAACAACCAGTAGCTCTGTAACCTTATAATTTTTTTTCTTCTCTATGTCCACAAGCTACAGAAATACTAAGTGATTAAGCCAGTATTAAGAATTGAAATCTAGTAAACAGTTGAAGCCTTGTCTAGATTCTGGATATAGTGCTATTCAGTAGAATTTTCTGTGGTTTAGAAAAATTTTCTATCTTCACTGTCCATATGGTAGCCAGTAGTCACAAGTGGCTGTTGAGCTCTTCAGATGTGGAACTGAGAAATTGTGCAACTGAGAAATTGAATTTTTAGTTATATTTTAATAGTCACACTGGGCTAGTGACTACTGTACCAAACAATGCTACTATACAAGATGGATTAAACCTGGTGGATTAAACCAGGTGTGGTGGCTGACACCTGTAATCCCAGCACTTTGGGAGGCCGAGGCAGGTGGATCACCTGAGGTCAGGAGTTCAAGACCATCCTGTCCAACATGGTGAAACCCCATATCTACTAAAAATACAGAAATTAGCTGGGCATGATGGCACGCACCTGTAATTCAGGGGACTTGAACCTGGGAGGCAGAGGTTGCAGTAAGCTGAGATCACACTTTACTCCAGCCTAGGTGACAGAGCAAGACTCCATCTCAAACAAACAACCCAAAAAAGATTGTGTTGGTGTATTAAATAGCATAAGAAAGTGATTGAAAAGTGTTTTGGCAGCACTGCCCACCTAAGAAGAGAGGGCATCATTTGAAAATATATGAGACCATTTTAATGATTATAGTGGTTGAGTTGTTGCTCGCACATAGTGCCCTGGAAGCAAGGGATGATAAATGTCCTACAGGAGTCCAGAACAGTTCGGCATGGTGAATTGCCCCTCCCCCATGCTCCATTGAGAAACACTGATTAAAAATTGAAAACTTGTCCTGTGAGGAATACCAGAAAGTTCAAAGGACTTATTGGCTGAGAAGAAAAGATGGAGGAATGTGTTAATTTTAGGTGCTGGCATATGGAAGGAGAGCCTTTATTCTGTGTTCAGGTGATAGAACTATTAGAATAATTCAGTAATGGAATACCTGCCTTGAAATAGTCCCTCTAGCAGAGATTCCTTTTTACCAATAGATGGTAATTTACCTCTCAGCCCTAGATGATTGTATATCAGATAGGATGATGTATATGAAGAATTATTCATGAGTTATAAATCTGTAAAAACATGATATATTTATTATTGAACAATATGCTGACCTTATTGATTCATCCCAGGTCTGCCCACCATCTGCTGTGTGAGAACCATTGAACCAGGTATTGGATATGCAGGAACAGGACAGATGGAATACTCTTCTCTTCCTTGAACTTTTACTTCTTTATTTTTGCTTGAGAGGTTACCTTTACATAGCACTAATATCTTACTCGTCAGTCCCATTACTTGTGACTTACTAATTAAACCCCATCAAGTCATTTGCAGGTGGATCACTTCCAAAATAAGTATTTCTGTGTCCTTATTCATATACCTGAGTATTTGAACCTAAATGTCTTATCTTAACCCTGCCTACACATTAAAATCCTCGAGGGAGCTATAAAAACATACTTCTGATTAGCTCTGCCTCAGATCAACATCTGAATCTCTGGTATGGAGGACTGGGTATCAGTAGTTTGTCAAGCTTCTCAGATGACTCAGATGTGTAGCCAGAGTTGAGAATTTTTACCATAACCTGCTGTGATGATTTTGAATCTTAAATGCTTTGGAAGGAGGAAGAAATACCTGACCTCCATCATGTCCCTGACAGTAGTCTATAAATAAATACTAGTCTATAAAAAAGTAAATCACCTGATTTTATATTACTTGTTTTTGATAAATATTTATTGATTTCTTTATTGCTTCATGAGTCACTCAAGCACTTTTAATTTTCCCTAGGGCTGATGTCAAGCATATTGGTCTGTGATTTCTAAAATCTCTTTTTTTGTTTGTTTCAGACATTGGAGCTTTTGTGCATCTCCAAGTACATGGCATTTTCTGTTTATTTTTCAAAGAATTTGGGTCAATTTGTGGGAACGTTTAGAAAACTCACTTGAGCCTCAGTACCTTGACATCTCTTTAGTACTTTAAGTGCTTAAAATGGTGAAAATTTCTCTTGCTATTTCTTTAATGTAGTATTTTTCTTAAGAAACCGTTTTTTCCAGAATGAAGATAAATTTCATCTTAGATCATGCATGAAGAAACTTGTTTTAAATTGTAGGAGTTTATGCTAATGATGTTTATACTGTACAAAACAAAGGAAAAAATAAAGACTCTTAAGAGTTGTCATTTAAAATTTTTCACCTGGTAAATAAACCCGGTTATTTTCTTTTCACTTTGTAACGTCTCATGTTTATTGATGTGGGGCTCACTACAGAACTGCAGAGGCTGATTTGGCTTTACTTTGTTGCTGTTTGTAGTCTCTTTCTGATTTCTTACAAGTGTGGGTGCTTGGTAAGTCAGACTGGTCTGTCATTGATTCTTTTAACTTCTGCAGCTTTTGGAAATACTTTAGGAAAATGGTGCTTTTTTTCTTTTTCTTAAATGTGAGGAATATTTACTTATCTTGATCTTTGGTTTTTAGTGTCCTCCTCTTTGTTTTCTTCAGTCGAGATCCCAGATGCAGCTTTTATTCAGGCAGCTCGCAGAAAACGTGAATTGGCCAGAGTGCAAGATGACTATATTTCTTTGGATGTAGAACATGCCTCCACCATCTTTGGTATGAAGAGAGAGAGTGAAGACGACCCTGAGAGTGAGCCTGATGACCATGAGAAGAGAATACCATTTACCCTGAAACCTCAAACACTTAGACAAAGGATGGTTGAGGAATCAAGTATGTATTTGTCAATATATGAAGCTTAGGTTATTTTTCATTAGAATATAATATTATGAGAGAATCTCCATAAAAAATGTAATGTGCTTCACATTATAGAGTGTGGATACTGGTTTTTAATATCAATTTGATCCATGATATTATGACCTCTAAAGGATGTATCTGTATCAAAATGTTATTATCAAGGAATGTGTGTAATAATGGTTATTAATGCCTGACCCCCACTTGATCTTTTTTGACAGATTAAAAAAATGTGCAGTATCTTATTTTCAAAACATTAAAAACAATCATTGTCACATTTATAAATATTTTTTTAACATGGAAGCATCTACAGAGATTTTTAGATGTCATGTATTAAAATCTCTGCTATAATAAAAAATTCTTCACATTTCTCATTTATAATATGAGGTTTTTGTAACCTTAAATAATATTTTTTCAGAAAAATACTTAGTTCCTTACAATTTATTTTTACGTATTTTGATTCTCAGGTAGTAATTGAGAGATCTTTGATAAGAAAAACCAAACATTTCATTCTTTCTCAGTTTTTTTGTTTGTTTGTTTGTTGTGACAGAGTTTCACTCTTGTTGCCCAGGCTGGAGTGCAATGACAATATCTCGGCTCACCACAACCTCCGCCTCCTGGGTTCAAGTAATTCTCCTGCCTCAGCCTGCCGAGTAGCTGGGAATTACAGGCATGCGCCACCACTCCTGGCTAACTTTGTATTTTTAGTAGAGACAGAGTTTCTCCATTTTGGTCAGGCTGGTCTCGAACTCCCAACTTCAGATGATCCACCTTCCTCGGCCTCCCAAAGTGCTGGGATTATGCCTGAGCCACTGTGCCTTGCTCTTTCTCAGTTTTTTACATTTCTAGGGCTGTAGTGTTTTGAGTGGGACAGTTTGGTGAGAAGAGGGCAGGTTCTGAAGTCAGATCCCAGGATCCAACTTCCAGCTTCAACATAGTCTTAGGACAGTTATTTAACCTCCCAATATCTGAGTTTCCTAATTTGTGAAATGAGGGCAGTAATAGTGCCTTCTTCCCAGAATTATTGTGAAGAATAAATAACACACGTAAAGTGATACTAAGCCTGTATACACTAAGCTAAAAAAAGTTGGCTGTTGCAATTAAAATGGAAAAATATTAAACATTTACATGTGAACTTTTTTTTCCCCTAGAAAACAGATACGAAGAAACAAGTCAAGAAAGTCAGGAGGATGAAAAGCAAGATATTTGGGTACAACAACAAATGAGGAAAGCAGTTAAAATCATAGAGGTAATCATTGTTTATACCATGTGTATTAGATTCCTATGGCTGGTATAACAAATTACCACAAAGTTGGTGATGCAAAAGTGTTGTTCGAGGGTGCCATACCCTGTTCATTGGGCACCAGATGTTGGGAACCAGCCCAACCCCATGCGTGGGTGCTCTTAATGATGGCAGTGATGAGGGATTGAGAAAGGGAAACAAAGACAGAGACACAAGAAGTTACAACATGGGTCTAGGGGACCAATGCAAGCATGGAAAACATGTTGGCCCTGAGCTCTGGGCTCCAAACACTTTTATTATGTGCACAATCTCATTGATCTTATGGGCATGGAAGGGGAGGGTAAAGGAGTAGGTAAGACAGCCAGGTGGAGAGCACTTCAGATCCTTGTAAGACATGCTAAACTAGTGCTCTAAGCATCCTAATAGCACTTGAGATCCTTCTAAGACATGCTAAACTTACTGAGTTTATCACCGATTGTTATCACAGTGCAGCTGCAACAGAAGTATAGTGGATGAGGAGCCACCTGGTCTGACCACTCCCAATGCAACAAGGGGCTTTTATCTTCCAAGAATTGACAACATAGAGCAATTAAAATCACTCCGTATTCTGAGAACCTAGGCAGAGCCTGAGGTATTCTGTGATCTCTGCCCTGCAAAGCTTTTCTCCTCCTTGCCAGCCCCCTTATGCAAAGACCCTCCCAGATCTTGTGAGTAGAGGTGGTCTCCATTTTCAGACATCTTTGCATAAGCCCTCTTTACAAGGCCCTGGGGCAGTCTCTATGTTGAGAAGGCATTTGTGGGACCAGAGCAGTATCTTGCCTGCTCTGCAGCCACCCCGAGGTGTTCCCCGTCGTTACTGTGCTTTCAGATGGTCTTTACCTTAGGCCTTCTGTTGCCGCTTGATTTCTAATTAACTGCACCAGTAATATAGTTTAGTTTGGTGTATAAACTTCAGTGTACTCTGAGCCAAGCAAGCTTATAATTATTTAGCTAGAATTAACATAGGTCTCCCCCTGGCCATCTTGACCCATACAAAAGAACAGACATTTATTCTTTCACAGCGTGGAGGCCAAAATCTGAAGTTAAGGTGTGGGCAGCACCTTGCTTCCTCCGAAGGCCCTGGGGTGTTGAGGGTAATTTTTCCTTGCTTTTTTCAACTTCTGGTCGCTCCACGTGTTTCGTGGCTTGTACTACATAACTCCTGTCTCTGCTTCTGTCTACACGTGGCTTTCTCCATGTCTCTACTGTGTATTTTCCTCATAAGAATACTTGTCATTAGATTTAGGGCCCACTCGTAATCCAGGGTCTTTCACTTAATTACAACCACCAGGACTCTTTTTCCAAATAAAGTAATATTTATACTTTCCAGGGATTAATTCATGGATGTATCTTTTGGGAAGCCTCCATTAAGCCCACTGCACTGTGCATATTATGTTATTTTTCCACTAGATTATAAATACCTTCCACTTGAGGGTACTTTTCTTTTTAAGCTTTAATTTTTTTAGTAATTGACAGTTTATATTATACAGGTACTTAAAAGTTTAGGCCTCAAACTTCACTTTTAAATACCTGTTCTGTATAATATAAATATAACCAATTTTCTCTTCAGAAACTTTTTTTCACTTCACAATATAACAGAGACATATCACCACAATGGCATATCTGCTTCTACTACATTTTAATGATTTCATAGCAATCTAGTGAATAGATGTATTATCATTTATATATTAAATCTCATTTGACATTTATGTGATTTCTCAGAGAATTTTTTATTGTAGTGAATCCTGTGGTAAATATTATGCCCAAATACATTATACCTATGTTATGATACATAACTGCGCTACATTTCATCATACACAAATACATTTTTGTGTTTTATTTAATTTTTAAAAAGATGTAAACAAATATCCAACAATGGGGAACTTGGTACAATACAGCAGGATGGGATACTATGAAGCCCTAAAAATGTTATTAGAAACCAAAACCCAAGAGGCTGAGGCTTGGGTCATTTGAGTCCAGGAGTTCAAGACCAGCCTGGGCAACATGGCGAAACCCTGCCTCTACAAAAAATAGAAAAACTAGCCAGGCATGGTGGTGGTGGCACATACCTGTAGTTTGAGCTGCTTACAGTGGCTGAGGTAGGAGGATCGCTTGAACCCACGAGGTCAAGGCTGCAGTGAGCTGAGATTGTGCCACTGTGCTTTGGCCTTGGTGACAGAGTGAGACTCTGTCTCATTTAAGAAAAAAACATCAACACTAAAGCACAGATTTGGCCAGGCATAGTGACTCACACCTGTTATTCCAGCACTTTGGAAGCCCAAGGTGGGAGAATCGCTTCAGCCCAGTAGTTTGAGACCAGCCTGAACAACACAGTGAGACCTGAGCTCTACAAAAAATAAATAAAACTAGGCAGGCGTGGTGGGGCATGCCTATAGTCTCAGCTACTTGGGAGGCTGAGCTGGGAGGATCACTTGAGCCCAAGAGTTCAAGGGTAGAGTGAGCTATGATCACACCACTCCACTCCAGCCTGGGCAACAGTGAGACCCTGTCACTAAAAATGAATGAATGAATGAATGAATGAATGAATGAATGAATGAATGAAAGTTTAAACAAATAGTGAGCTTTGAAAGAAACCTAACAAAAATGTACCGTACTGGGGGATAAAAGTTGTAGATTTGGGCTCTTGAGTCTGCTGGTGGAATGTAAGCTCTGTAAGTGTACATTAGAGTTTGCAATCAGTATACATTAGAGTTTTCCAAACTTTCTCATTCATGGAGCCCTTAATGCCTTGGTAATTTTATCATGGTGCTCATAAGTCAAAAGAAGTACCAAACAATTATATTCATTAAGTAGTTAAGTCCAAATAATTTTACATAATTTATGTCCTAAGAACTAACCATTTGGAAAAATAATACAAATAAATTGAAGACAAAAAATTTTTGTTATTATTTTGAGACAGTCTCTCTCTGTTGCCCAGATTGTAGGGCAGTGGTGTGATCTCGGCTCACTGCAACCTCCGCCCCTCTTGGTTCAAGCAGTAATTCTGCCTCAGCCTCCCTAGTAGCTGGGACTACAGGCGTGCACTACCACACCCGGCTAATTTTTGTATTTTTAAATAGAGACAGGGTTTCACTATTTTGGCCACATGAGTCTTGAACTCCTGGCCTCAAGTGTTCCACTTGCCTTGGCCTCTCAAAGTGCTGGGATTACTGGCATGAGCCACCACGCCTGGCTTACTTTATTTTTAAATAACCAAAGTTTCTTACTAATGAGATGTGTGTTCCTGTTAGGTATTGTGTGACTTTTCAAACCTTGGAATCAAGTGAGAGTGGCAGAGGTTGGACACTGCCACTCTCATTTCCATATTGATATTCACATAATACTTATTTTATATCATAGCATCCTTCCAAAATCCAGCTCCACAAATGACTTCATCAAAAGGAATGAAACACATTCTTTTTGTTTTTGTTTTTGCTTTTGAGATAGTTTCACTCTGTTGCCCAGGCTGGAGTACAGTGGCATGATCTCGGCCCACTGCAAACTCTGCTTCCTGGGTTCAAGCAATTCTTCTGCCTCAGCCTCCAGAGTAGCTGTGAGTACAGGCACACGCCACCACGCCCAACTGATTTTTTTTGTCTTTTAGTAGAGATGGGGTTTCACTATGTTGCGTCAGCTGGTCTTAAAACTCCTGATTTCAGGCAGTCTGCCAACCTCAGCCTCCCAAAGTGCTAGGATGACAGGCATGAGCCACCATGTCTGGCCATATGGAACACGTTTTAATGTAACTGAACTAAGAGCTACTAGTCCAGCAGCTGTTGAGTACTGCATTGTTTCCCTAAAATATTTAAAATGTTTCACTATACCCCTTTGAATTTGCTAGCATGCCTTTGCACAGTTTAGGAACCACATTATGCATACAGTTTTGAATTCTGATTTCCTTGCTTGACATAAAGTACCTTCTCTTCTCTTTACATAGTTATAATAACTAATTTTAATAGCTCTATAATGTTCACTGGAGTCACTGAATCATAATCTTATTAACCATTCTTTATTTTGGATATTTGCAATCTGATTTTTTTTTCTATTAACAGATAATAATCGGTGAAGATTTAGTTATTTTTCCTCCTCTCATTTCTTTTGTTCAAATGTGTGTTTTTGGACTATTCCTTTGTAAAAAGTGCCAAGAATTTTATTATTAATCAAGAGATGAACATTTTATGGCACTTAGTATATTTTTCTCTATTGCCTTCTAAAGAAAACAGCTAAATCTCTAATGTCTCCAATATCATGGGAATATTTTACCATAAACTTGCCCTCTTCAAGCGCAAGTATATAATTGATGAAAATGGAATCTCACACTTACTTGATTTGCGATTTTATTAATTATATGAGTACATTTACTGATTCCTTTATTGAAAATCCACTATTTGCCACTATATTAGTTTTCTGTGACTCCTGTAACAAACCACCACAGACTTAGTGGCTTAAAATAAGAGAAGTTTATTCTCTCTGAGATCTGGAGGTCAGAAGTCCAAAATCAAAATGTTAGTAGAGCAACCATGCTTCCAGAAACTCTAGAAGAGAATCCACTACTTGACTCTTCTAGTTTTTGGTGGCTGTTGGCATGCCTTTTCCTGCAGCCACATCGCTCTCTGTTCCATCTTCACATCGGTGTCTTCTGTTGTGTCCCAAAATTCCCTATCTCTTAGAATGGTACATGTAATTGTGTTCAGGCCCTATCAGGATAATCCAGGCTATGCACCAAGTCTCAAAGTCTTAATTACATCTTTTGCCATATATCGAACATGAACGTGTTTTTTGTGGGGTCATCATTAGCCTGCTGAAGCCACTTACAAAGATGTACAACCTTAGCAGGAAGGGAGACAGCTAAACAAAATAATTGTAGTTAAATCCTACTGGTTCTGTGAGAGAACTCTTTGCAGGGTCCTAAGGTAGCACAGAGGAGCAAGTGGGTAGTCAGTTTTATAGGAGGGAAGGTAAATGAGCAAGTTTGAGAAAGCCTTTACAGAAGTGGTAGTACTTGAATGGGTCATTGACTGTAAAGTATCAAGAATGTTTGGAGATTTGTAGATATGAATAGTGCTGGATGGGAGGCTTGGTGAGAACTGAAATGAGAAAAGATGATGCTTCATGGAAAATATAAAATGAGTAGCTAAGCCAGTGAAATTGGCTAAATATCTGCTCGATTTTTTTCATGTGTCTTTGTCTAAAACAGAGGTTCTTCCCGATCTTCTGAACATTCCAAGCATGGTGATGATGAGCTGTGATTAGACAGAGGACATTAATGTGAAATACACCACGTTATAAGTTAGGAGTGCATTTCTTTACAAGGAACAGAAAACCCAAGTAAGAATGTCTTAAAGAAAAGTAAAAACCTTGTAATCCCAGCTACTCAGGAGGCTGAGGCAGGAGAATTGCCTGAACCCAGGAGGTGGAGGTTGCGGTGAGCCGAGATCGCACCATTGCACTCCAGCCTGGGTAACAAGAGCGAAACTCCGTCTCAAAAAAAAAGAAAAGTAAAAACTTTACCTACAAACCGTCCCGTGGACTTCCATTTATTTTTCATTGACTAGAATGGAGTTGAAGTTAAATAGATACTTCTCTCATGGAAATAGGTGTTAGGTCAACCAGACAGGTCTGTCTACCCCACAAATTAATATTCACAAAGGATTGTTGTTTCTTCAAAGACTGGGTGACTTTCTGAGAGTATATGAGATGATAACAAAAATTAGCTACGAAACTAAGCTTTTTAAAAAATATGAGTTTTAGAATTTGTGAATTTTAACTTCTAAAATGTAAAACTGTGAATTTAAAAATATTTTATTGGGACCATGAAAAATTACAAAGGCATGGAATTCTTTAGCTGGACTGTGGAACATCCAGTCCCTTTTCATGCTATTAATGTTTATAAGGTAAATTGAATGTTTTTTTTAAAAAAATCTATGTTTCTTTTTTTTTTTTTTTTTTTTTAGGAAAGAGATGTAGATCTTTCGCATAGCTGTGGATCTTCAAAAGTGAAGAAATTTGATACTTCCATTTCATTTCCACCAGTAAATTTAGAAATTATAAAGAAGCAATTAAATACTAGGTGAGTAATACTCATTTTGAAATTTACATTTGTCCTAGATATCTAATAGTGAAGATATAGCACTATATTCTTTTAGATTATTAAGTTTTAATATTAGACAGACTTATAGGGGGAAAAGAAGGATCTCCTGTGTTATACTAACAATTGATTACATTTTTGTATACAGTTGTTCCCCCATATCTGTATGTTTGCCTTCTGTAGTTTCAGTTATCAGTGGTCAAACCATGGTCCAAAAATATTAAATGGAAAATTCCAGAAATAATTCATGTGTTTTAAATTGCTTGCTCTTCTAAATAGTGTAATGACATCTCGAGCTACCCTACTTTATTCTGCCCAGGATGAGAATCATCGTTTTGTCCAGCATCTTTTTGTTCTGTAAGCCAACTGCCTGTTAGTCATATAGTAACGTTCTTCATTACCAGATGGACTGTTGCATTATCACAGTGCTTCCATTCCGGTAACCTTTATTTTACTTAATAATGGCCCCAGAGTGCAAAAGTACTATATATAATATATAAATTAGGAGGAGGAACTCAAGATGGCGCTGTGACAACAACCCAGGATTTAATCTCTCGGTTAATCTGCGGAGAGGTGAGTCAAAGCTGCATTTTCAGACTGATCTTTGTTGCCCACAGAACGGGGAAATTCCCAAGTATAAAGGAGACGCGGGACACCAGGCAGAGGCTCTGCCTGGAGAAGCTGGCAGCCGGGGTGGCGGAGGCCGGCCCTACCCAGCGATACCCACAGGGCGCACTTGTCCGGGTGCCCTGTTGAAACGGCAACCTGAGACTTGAGGGGGCTGAACTCGAGACTGAAAGGGACTTGGGCAGTGGGCCAGCCCAGGGGATTGCAGGGACACAGCGTGTGGGATAGCGCAGTGGGACAGACAGAATGGCGATTCCAAACGCTCGCTGTGGAGACCGTCCCTGAGGCGCTCCGTGGGGGAGGGGCGTCCACCATTACCGAGGCAACCCACCCCGACTGAGACACACGCCCACTGCTGACGCAGCCTGCAGTTGCCGAGGCAACCTGCCCCTACTGAGATACACGCCCACTGCTGACGCAGCCTGCCATTGCCGAGGCAACCCACTACAACAGAGAGACTCCGCTGCAGGGCGTAGCCCGTATTGGAGAACGCAGCAGAAGAGCAAGAGCCTGCAGCAACAGGGTGAGCCTCACAACAGCACGGCGGAGCCTTGGCAGTCAAATAGTGATTAGACTGCCTCCTAGCTGGGCAGGACACCTCAACAGACATCCAAAAACAAAGCCCCAACCCCCCAAGACAGAGCATTTGAGAAAAAAAGGGGTTTTTTAATGAGATCTGTTGCAGCAGAATCAAACATAGCAGCCTAACAGCCCTGAATGAACAACAGAGCTCACAGCTCAGCAATTGAGCTCCTATAAAGTACAGACTGTCTCCTCAAGCAGCTCCCTGACCCCTCTATATCCAAAAGACTGACATTTGGCAGGCATCATCCTGGGACAAAGATAGCAGAAAAAGAAACTGGTAGCATCCCTCACTGTTCCGCAGCTGCTATAGGTGTACCCCAGACAAGCAGGGCCTGGAGTGGACCTCAGCAGTCGTACAGCGAAGGGGCTAGACTCGTAGAAGGAAAACCAAGTAACAGAAATACTTCATCACCAACAATCTGGGTGTCCACTAAGAGACCCAATCGAAAAGTCAGCAACTACGCAGATGACAAGTGGATAAATCCACAAAGATGGGAAGAAACCAGCGCAAAAAGGAGGAAAACACCCGAAACCAGAACACCTCGCCTCCTAGAAAGGACCAAAACTCTTCACCAGCAAGGAAACAAAGCTGGACGGAGAATGACTGTGATGAAATGACGGAATTAGACTTCAGAAGATGGATAATGAGAAACTTTTGTGAGCTAAAAGAACATGTATTAAATCCATGCAAAGAAACTAAGAACCTTGAAAAAAGATATGAAAAAAGATTTGAAGAAATGATGACAAGAATGAATAACTTAGGAATATGAATGAACTAAAGGAGCTGAAAAACACAATACGAGCACTTCACAAAGCATGCACAAGTTTCAATAGCCGAATTGACCAAGCAGAAGAAAGAATATCTGAAGTCGAAGATCAACTCAATGAAATAAAACGAGAAACCAAGATCAGAGAAAAAAGCGCAAAAAGGAATGAACAAAGTCTCCAAGAAATGTGGGACTATGTGAAAAGACCTAATCTACATTTGATAGATGTACCAGAAGGGGACGAAGAGAATGAATCCAAGCTGGAAAATACTCTTCAGGACATCATCCAGGAAAATTTCCCCCACCTAGCAAGACAGGTCAACACTCAAATGCAGGAAATACAGAGAACACCACAAAGATGTTCCACAAGAAGAGCAACCCCAAGGCACATAATCATCAGATTCACCAGGGTTGAAATGAAGGAGAAAATACTAAGGGCAGCCAGAGAGAAAGGTCGGGTCACCCACAAGGGAAAGCCCATCAGACTCACAGCAGATCTCTCAGCAGAAACTCTACAAGCCAGAAGAGAGTGGTGGCCAATATTCAACATCCTTAAAGAAAAGAACTTTCAACCCAGAATTTCATATTCAGCCAAACTTAACTTCATAAGTGAAGGAAAAATAAAATCCTTTGCAAACAAGCAAGTACTCAGAGATTTTGTCACCACCAGGCCTGCTTTACAAGAGCTCCTGAAAGAGGCACTACACATAGAAAGGAACAACCAGTACCAGCTATTGCAAAAACACACTAAATGCTAAAGAGCATCAACAGAATGAAGAATCTACATCAACTAACAGGCAAAACAGCCAGCTAGCATCAAAATGGCAGTATCAAATTCACACATAACAATATTAACCCTAAATGTAAATGGGCTAAATGCACCAATCAAAAGACACAGACTGGCAAATTGGATAAAAATCCAAAACCCATCAGTGTGCTGTATCCAGGAAACCCATCTCACATGCAAGGATACACAAAGGCTCAAAATAAAGGGATGGAGGAAGATTTACCAAGCAAATGGAGAGCAAAAAAAAGCAGGAGTTGCAATTCTCATCTCTGATAAAATAGACTTTAAAGCAACAAAGATCAAAAGAGACAAAGAAGGCCATTACATAATGGTAAAAGGATCGATACAACAAGAAGAGCTAATGATCCTAAACATATATGGACCCAATACAGGAGCACCCAGATACATAAGGCAAGTTCTTAAAGACTTACAAAGAGACTTAGACTCCCACACAATCATAGTGGGAGACTTTAACACTCCACTGTCAATATTAGACAGATCAACCAGACAGAAAATCAACAAGGATATCCAGGGCTTGAACTCAGACCTGGAGCAAGCAAACCTGATAGACATTTACAGAACTCTCCACCCCAAATCCACAGAATATACATTCTTCTCAGCACCACATCACACCTACTCTAAAATTGACCACATAATTGGAAGTAAAGCACTGCTCAGCAAATGCAAAACAACTGAAATCATAACAAACAGCCTCTCAGACCATAGTGCAATCAAGTTAGAACTCAGAATTCAGAAACCAACCCAGAACCGCACAGCTTCATGGAAACTGAACAACTGGCTCTTGAATGTTGACTGGGTAAACAATGAAATGAAGTCAGAAATAAAGAAGTTCTTCAAAACCAATGAGAACGAAGACACAACGTGCCAGAATCTCTGGGACACATTTAAAGCAGTCTCTAGAGGAAAGTATATAGCAATAAGTGCCCATATGAGGAGAATGGAGAGATCCAAAATTGACACCCTATTGTCAAAATTGAAAGAGCTAGAGGAGCAAGATCAAAAAAACTCAAAACCCAGCAGAAGACAAGAAATAACTAAGATCAGAGCTGAACTGAAGGAGATTGAGACACGAAAAACCCTTCAAAAAATCATTAAATCCAAGAGCTGGTTTTTTGAAAAGATCAACAAAATAGACAGACCACTAGCCAGATTGGTTAAAAAGAAAAGAGAGAACAACCAAATAGATGCAATAAAAAATGATGAAGGGGAAATCACCACAGACTCCACAGAAATTCAAACCATCATCAGAGAATATTACACACAACTCTATGCACATAAACTAGTAAACCTGGAAGAAATGGATAAATTCCTGGACTCCTGTGTCCTCCCAAGCCTCAACCAGGAGGAAGCTGAAACTATGAATAGACCAATTAACAAGGTCAGAAGTCGAGGCAGCAATTAAGAGCCTACCACACAAAAAAAAGCCCAGGTCCAGACGGGTTCACAGCCAAATTCTACCAGACACACAAAGAGGAGCTGGTACCATTCCTTCTAAAACTATTTTAAATAATCCAAAAAGAGGGAATCCTTCCCAAATCATTTTATGAGACCAACATCATCCTGATACCAAAACCCAGCAGAGACCCAACAAGAAAAGAAAACTTCCGGCCAATATCCATGATGAACATAGATGCAAAAATCTTCAATAAAATATTGGCAAGCCGATTGCAACAGCAAATCAAAAAACTTATTCATCACGATCAAGTAGGATTCATCCCGGGGATGCAAGGCTGGTTCAACATACGCAAGTCTATAAACGTAATTCGCCACATAAACAGAACCAAAAACAAAAACCACATGATTATCTCAATTGACGCAGAGAAGGCATTTGACAAAGTTCAACAGCCCTTTATGCTAAAAACCCTCAATAAACTCGGTATCGATGGAACGTATCTCAAAGTAATAAAAGCTATTTACGACAAACCAACAGCCAATATCATACTGAATGGGCAAAAACTGGAAGCATTCCCTTTGAAATCCGGCACTAGACAAGGATGCCCTCTCTCACCACTCCTATTCAATATAGTACTGGAAGTTCTAGCCAGAGCAATCAGGCAAGAAAAAGAAATAAAGGGTATTCAAATAGGAAAGGTGGAAGCCAAATTGTCTCTATTTGCAGACGACATGATAGTATACCTAGAAGATTCCATCGCCTCAGCCCAAAAACTCCTGAAACTGATAAGCAACTTCAGCAAAGTCTCAGGATATAAAATCAATGTGCAGAAATCACAAGCGTTCGTCTACACCAATAACAGACTTAAAGAAAGCCAAATCAAGAACGAACTGCCATTCACAATTGCTACAAAAAGAATAAAATACCTTGGAATACAACTCACAAGGAACGTAAGAGACCTCTTCAAGGAGAACTACAAGCCACTGCTCAATGAAATCAGAGAGGACACAAACAGATGGAGAAACATTCCATATTCATGGTTAGGAAGAATTAATATCGTGAAAATGGCTATACTGCCCAAAGTAATTTACAGAATCAGCACTATCCCCATCAAGCTACCATTGACTTTCTTCACAGAACTGGAAAAAACCACCATGAACTTCATATGGAACCAAAAGAGAGCCCGCATAGCCAAATCAATTCTAAGCAAAAAGAACACAGCGGGGGGCATCACACTACCGGATTTTAAACTATACTACAAGGCTACAGTAATCAAAACAGCATGGTACTGGTACCAAAACAGAGATATAGACCAATGGAACAAAACAGAGGCACCAGAGGCAGCACAACATATCTACAACTTTACAATCTTTGATAAACCTGACAAAAACAAGCAATGGGGAAAGGATTCCCTATTTAACAAATGGTGTTGGGAAAACTGGCTAGCCATGTGCAGAAAGCAGAAACTGGACCCCTTCCTGACACCTTACACTAAAATTAACTCCAGATGGATTAAAGACTTAAACATAAGACCTGGCACGATAAAAACCCTAGAAGGAAATCTAGGCAAAACTATCCAGGACATAGGAGTAGTCATGGACTTCATGAACAAAACACCAAAAGCATTGGCAGCAAAAGCCAAAATAGACAAATGGGACCTAATGAAACTCCACAGCTTCTGCACGGCAAAAGAAACAGTCACTAGAGTGAATCGGCAACCAACAGAATGGGAAAAAATTTTTGCAGTTTACCCATCTGACAAAGGGCTGATATCCAGAATTTCCAAAGAACTCAAACGGATTTACAGGAAAAAAACAAGCCCATTCAAAAGTGGGCAAAGGATATGAACAGACACTTTACGAGAGAAGACATATATGAGGCTAACAATCATATGAAAAAATGCTCATCGTCACTGGTCATCAGAGAGATGCAAATCAAAATCACATTAAGATACCATCTCACGCCGGTTAGAATGGCGATCATTAAAAAATCTGGAGACAACAGATGCTGGAGAGGATGTGGAGAAAAAGGAACACTTTTACACTGTTGGTGGGAGTGTAAATTAGTCCAACCATTGTGGAAGACAGTGTGGCGATTCCTCAAGGCCTTAGAAATAGAAATTCCATTTGACCCAGCAATCCCATTACTGGGTATATATCCAAAGGACTATAAATCATTCTACTATAAGGACACATGCACACGAATGTTTATTGCAGCACTGTTTACAATAGCAAAGACCTGGAATCAACCCAAATGCCCATTGATGATAGACTGGATTGGGAAAATGTGGCACATATACACCATGGAATATTATGCTGCAATCAGAAATGATGAGTTCGTGTCGTTTGTAGGGACATGGATGAATCTGGAGAACGTCATCCTCAGCAAACTGACACAAGAACAGAAAATGAAACACCGCATATTCTCACTCATAGGTGGGTGATGAAAAGTGAGAACACATGGACACAGAGAGGGGAGTACTAAACACTGGGGTCTATTGGGGGGAAAAGGGGAGGGCCAGTGGGAGGGGGAGGTGGGGAGGGATAGCCTGGGGAGAAACGCCAAATGTGGGTGAAGGGGTGAAAGCAAACAGAACACACTGCCATGTGTGTACCTATGCAACTGTCTTGCATGCTCTGCACGTGTACCCCAAAACCTAAAATGCAATAAAAAAAATAAGAAAAAAGAAAAAAAAAAAAAATATATATATATATAAATTAAACTTTATCATAGTTATGTATGTGTAGGGACAAAAGCAGCATATATAGGCTTCAGTATTATTTGCATTCACTGGGGGTCTTGGAACGTGTCCCCGTGATTAAGGTGATAGTATCCTGTCTTTTTTAGTCTTTATAACATACTTTACATGGTTAAAATCAGTAAATAAAAAATTCTTTTTTATTTAATATGGTTTTACTCATTTTTCTGTATTACTGAATAGCCTTTAATTTTTTAAAAAACTGTCATGTTTGTCCATATAGTTGTTTTATCATAATTAAGTATTTCTCTGTTGGACATTTTGATCTAGAACAGGAGTCAGCAAGTGTCTTTTTTTGTAAAAGGCTGCATAGTAAATATTTTAGGCTTTACGGACTAGATGATTACTGTTGTAACTGCTCAACTCTATGCTATAGCATGAAAACAGCCATAGACAATATGTAAACATATAAGGATGGCTGTCTTCCAATGGAACTTTATTTACAAAAACAAAGGATGGGCTAATAATTTTCCAAGCCCCAGAATACAAAGGTAACCTTGCATGAGAGATAGAAAAGAGGTAGCAGATCATTGATTTACAGTAGTATTTTATTTTATCAGGATACTTTGTTATATTTTTTATTAACTAGGTTTTTCATTTTTAAAAAACCATACACTCATGATTAAAAAATAAAATAACCAGTAGAAAGGATATACAGAACAAGGGAAATTAACCTCTCTAGAGGAAACCATTCCTACCAGTTTCTTTCTTTTCTTTTTTTAGACAGTCTTGCTCTGTTGCTCAGGCTGGATTGCAGTCTCATGATCTCAGCTCACTTCAACCTCCACCTCCCATGTTCAAGTGATTTCTTCTGCCTTAGCCTCCTGAGTAGCTGGGACTACAGGCCCCTGCCACCATGCCTGGCTATTTTTTTTTATATTTAGTAGTGACGGGGTTTCACCATGTTGGCCAGGCTGCTCAAACTCCTGACCTCAGGTGATCCACCCACCTCAGCCTCCCAAAGTGCGGGGATTATAGGCATGAGCCATCATGCCTAGCCACTACCAGTTACTCATGTTTTCTTCCAGAAGTGGTCTGTATGTATAGCTTTACAAGCACATATACGCTTATATATTCCCATTTATATACCAAAAAGGAAACACATTGTATACTTTTCTCTGTATCTAGCTTTTTCCACATAATAGTTACTTAAAAGTTCACTGCTATAGTCAATATTTTACTTAATTAAAGCATTTTATTAATAATGCCTACTATATGTTATTATCTTGATTAATTTCTTAACTCTCACTGTCCTTTATATAAAGCAAAGAAAGATTATGAAAGATAAATGCAAGAAAACTTGAAGAGAGAATATTGGGCCTAAGCAAGTTCTAAAGGGTTTCTTCTTTTATTGTGGTGCTCTTTGCTTGTCAAGTCTATGACAGATTTATATGATTTATATGGTTGTCAGTTTCCTTGGTGGTCTTTGAAAATATTTGCATTAGATTGCTACTTTTTAAAAATTTTGAAAAATAAATTTTATTTTTTTAATTTAGATTAACGTTACTACAGGAAACTCACCGCTCACACCTGAGAGAATATGAAAAATATGTACAGGATGTCAAAAGCTCAAAGAGTACTATCCAGAACCTAGAGAGTTCATCAAATCAAGCTCTAAATTGTAAATTCTATAAAAGCATGAAAATTTACGTGGAAAATTTAATTGACTGCCTTAATGAAAAGGTACATATCAATATTTATATTATTTCCTTTGTTGGAGAAAACCCTTTACCACACAATTAAGAAAAGTCTAGCCAGGCACGATGGCTCATGTCTGTAATCCCAGCACTTGGGAGGCTGAAGTGGGTGGATCAGGGGAGGTTGGGAGTTCAAGACCAGCCTGACCAACATGGAGAAACCCTGTCTCTACTAAAAATACAAAATTAGCCAGGCATGGTGACATGTGCCGGTAATCCCAGCTACTCGGGAGGCTGAGGCAGGAGAATTGCTTGAATCAAGAGGTGGAGGTTGTGGTAAACCAAGATTGCACCACTGTACTCCAGCCTGAGCAAGAAGAGTGAAACTCTGTCTCAAAAAAAAAAAAAACTGAAGTCTAAATCTCACAATTGGATTCTTTTTCGCTAGTATTTTTCCTACACATTTTTAACATAAGATAATATTAAGCATTCTCTTAATGTTGGATATTCAAGTTTTTTGTATTTTATTATTATAAGTAACATTGTATGAAATTTTATATGTAAATTTTTGTTACAACTACATTCGTTTAAGGAAAATCCCTTAAAAATGAAGTCAAAGAAAATGAATTAATAAGTCTAAATATTTTCAAGACTTATGAAACATTGCAAAATTGTCCTTCAGAAAGATTGTTCCAGTTTTATTAGTTTACTAGATTAGGAAGAAATAAATTTTGTTTTCACATATCATATTTTTATCTCAAGCAAACTCTATGGTTTTCTTCTTGTGAATTATGTTTGTCATCTTTGTCCTGTTACCTTTTTGGTTCTTAGTGGAGATTTTTCCTTTTTGTTTTCTAGTTTTCTTAGAGTATGAACAACTCTTTGTAGCTTAAAATTTTTTAATGCTTTATCATACTTGATGTAAACTTTCCAGATTTGTCTTTTGAATATGTTTGTGATGGTTTTTCTTTTAACGTTCGGCTGTTTTGAAATTTTTGTTTTTAGTTTTTGTTTTATGCATACTAAGTTCTTACATCGGGGCCTTCAGTTGTCCATTTTTAAAAATAGATTAACCATTTCAATTAATTTTACTCTACTTTCCACATTATTTTTATTTGTTTTTTGGGGGGGTTGGCAGAGTCTTGCTCTGTTGCCCAGGCTGGAGTGTAGTAGCGTGATCTTGGCTCACTGCAACCTCTGCCTCCCGGGTTCAAGTGATTCTCGTGCCTCAGCCTCCCATGCTGGGACTACAGGCATGTAGCACTACACCCAGCTAATTTTTTGTATTTTTAGTAGAGACCCGGATTCACCATGTTGCCCAACTGGTCTCAAACTCCTGAGGTCACAAAATCCACCTGCCTCAACCCTTCAAAGTGCTAGGATTACAGGCCTGAGCCATTGGGCTCGCCCACATTATTTTTTATTTAAAATTGAAATGTTGCTAAATAATGGGATGCTTTGTACCAATTGTTGTTTTAAGTTGGCTACCTTCTACTATCACTTGGTACATACTTTTTGAAGTATTTATTACAATGTAATTTTCTTTCTTCATTAACCCTTGAAGAATTATACTGTTAAAATTTTGCCATCCTGTGCATGAATGTATTCATTGCAGCAGCTGTGGAATATCAGTGGAGTTGGAAAAATTGTTGCTCCCCAAAATATTGAGAGTTTCAGTTTCAACTAGTCTCAATTCTGTATCACATTATAGCTTTCTTACGTGTGTCTGGTTAGTTTTTCCTCCCTTCCTCAATTTTTCAAATTTCAACAGCTTCAAGTGCCCCCACCTACTTTCCACACCCTAGGCCTGTGAAAACATCCACACTGTTCATTTTCACCTATTCTTCTAGCTCAGAAAAAGAAAAATCTTCTATCTCAAACTCTTGTCCATGTTCCTGACTCCATCCATTTGGTTTCTTTTTTTTTTTTTTTTTTTTTCTTCGAGAGAGAGTATTGTTCTGTTGCCCAGACTGGAATGCAGTGGTGCGATCTCAGCTCACTGCAACCTCCCCATCCAGGATTCAAGTGATTCTCCTGCCTCAGCCTCCTGAGTAGCTGGGATTGAAGACAGGCACCATTGCACCTGGCTAATTTTTGTATTGTTAGTAGAGACGGGTTTCACCATGTTGGCCAGGCTGGTCTTGAACTCCTCACCTCAAGTGATCCACCCACCTCCCAAAGTGCTGGATAACAGGCATGAGCCACCGCACCTGGCCCCCAACTGTTTTCTCTGTCTCTGATATTTATAACAGTTCCAGTAGACTAAGTCAGTTTTCTGATTTTTAATATTAAAAGTATTAGCAGCTAGGTGTGCTGCATATAATGTTTTGTAATTGAGATGCGATAGTATTGGGAATGTTTCTTTGTATGAGAATTGAGCATATAAATATGCTTATATATCTTCTAAATGTTACCTTTATATATATATATGTATATATATTTTATTACTGATGACCTACAAAATGTTACTTATATATGTATTTCAGATTATCAACATCCAAGAAATAGAATCATCCATGCATGCACTCCTTTTAAAACAAGCTATGACCTTTATGAAACGCAGGCAAGATGAATTAAAACACGAATCAACGTATTTACAACAGTTATCACGTTAGTGTTTTTCATGTTCAATACAATTTTTTATTCATTAAGCAAAATTATGTGAATAATAAAAATATTTTTGTAAACATTTTTTGTGTGTATTTTCCCACAAACCCTTTATGCACCAACTTTCAAAAACTCAACATATTTAGAAATAGGACTTAATAATGTTTTAAATTAAGCCTAAGAGTAAAAAATAAACATTACTTCCTATTATTTACTATGTCAGGCAAATAATCATTTAATGAATGTTTTGAGATAAGTTCATGTAATTCTGTAAAGTCTATTAGAAATCTAACTTAATAGTTTCAAAGCCCTTTCAAAAGTTGGTTCTGGTGAGTTTCAATATAGATTTATGTTTAGGGTCTCATTATATAAAATATGAATGCCTCCTTTTTTTTCCCACATTGGTTTTGTACTTTCAGAAATATCTTCCTTTGATTAAGGTGCTATCAGGAGATAGTGAAAGACCATAATCAAGTAGGTAATAAATGCAAAGGCAGAGTGACTTTAAGTGAAATACACGACCTTAGTGGATTGTAAATAATGGTATCATATATTAAAATAAGAAGTAATGTGACTAGAATACAGTAGTCCCTCTAATCTGCAGTTTTGCTTTCCACAGTTCCAAAAATGGTGAGTCAGTAGTGGTCCAAAAATGATGAGTACAGTACAGTAAGATATTTTGAGAGATACCCCACATGCATATAACTTACATTACAGCATATTGTTTCCACTGTTCTACTTTATTGCTATTGTTAATCTTGTACTGTGCCTAATTAATAAGTTAAACTTTATCATAGGTATATATATAGAGGGAAAAACAAATAGGGTTCGGCACTATGTGTGGTTTTTGGCATCCACTGAGGTTCTTGGAATGTAGCCCTGCAGATTAGGGGGGACTACTGTATTGGTAAAGCCAATATTTCTTGCATTTGGCTATGGAAAAAAATGGTAAAAACTACTGGAAAAGAATTTGAGGAAACAAAACTTTGTGGAAGAACTTTGTCACTGTTCTCAAGTGCCAAACATTCACCAGCCAAAGTACATTTTTAGGCTAACGAACCTGTCAATACTGCAATAAAGAGTTAACATTGAAATTTTATGGCATAATAAATTGCAAAATTTAAGTTTATTTGTATATTTACATATGCATATATGTTTATACATCCATGATATTACCTTCATTTTCAAAGCATTTCACTGTTTTTATTTGAGAATTTGTAGTATGAAGTCACTTTTATTTATTAACAGACAAAGATGAGACATCCACAAATGGAAACTTCACAGTAGATGGAAAAACTCAATGGATTTTAGAAGAGATTGAATCTCGAAGGTAGCTATATAAAGTGAAGATTTAAAAAAAGCATCATTGAGCAAGTACTTTTCACTACTTAAATATAATTAACCACATGGTATCATTAACCATACCTGATGTATATTATTAATTTGTGAGAATAATAGAAAAACAAAATTCAGTAAAACCATCCTTGACTGCTTTAAAGACATACTGGTATATTTGAATCAGTTAAAAGGAATAGGTAAAATGACATTTATCAGGCTGGGGATTGCTCGTAACTAGAACCCGGTCCTAATTATATTGCTACCCCCTCTTCAGAATCTGGCTAGCTCATGGGAATGTCATATAAGAAAACAAAAACAAAAAAACGGAAAACCACCAACTCAAATGAAACTAAAAATGTCAAAAAAGTAAGAAAATTGTATGTTGATATGATAGTATATTTATAGCCATTTAAAATAAATGATAACATTATTTTCAGCAAGAGATAAAAAAAATTTTTTTGAAGCATTTATTTTCAGCAAGAGCTATTTACTTTTTGCTATTTTTGGTTTGTCGAAAAATATAGAACAAAAAGAAAACAAGCAAGGGTGCTTTCTGGGAATTATAACCATCAGGAAGGAACATCTAGTGACGATGAATTGTCTTCAGCAGAGATGGTAGACTTCCAAAAAAGCCAAGGTCAGTTACCAAGTTTCTAATATATCATGGTTTGAGTTTTGAGACAATGAGAAACGCTTTGCTGTGATCGCCCTTAATAAGTAAATAATCTATATGAAACAGTTGGGCAAATTGAGGAAAAATAAAACACATTTTTCCTCTGTAAGACTCTTTCCCTACCTCTGAAAAAATGGAGTAAAATGAAGGAGGAACATTGTGAGTATTCTTGCATCTTCGTAGTTTTTTCTGTTAGACTTTCTCCTATTACTAATGAACATCTTCATTTCTTTACCACACATACTTTGTATATTATCATTTTTATTTTAAAATATTATGAAAATATCTTCTCATCTTTTTAGCATGATGTGAAGATAAGATACATATAGTTGAAAGATTCTGGGCTCTGGAGTTAAATAAATTTGGATTCTAAGGGAGATTTTATTCTGTGTAATCTTAGACAAATTTCTTGTCTCCCCTACATTTGATGTTGTTTTGTGTGTAAATAGGTAGGCTATACCTATATGGTAGGAAAAATAGCTACGATGGTGAAATGAGATAAATATATTTCTGTTGGCATATGGCCGGGGTATATATGGTAGCTTTTATTAGTGTTGATATTATTACTTTGTTGCTAAAATGATTTTTTAATAAAAATTTATATGTTACTATTAAAGGACAAATTTTAGCTGAATTGATTGCAGTCCTTCACGGCCGTGTTTTTAAGGAAGCAAACACAGTTCACAACTTAAAATGCATAAAGGGACTTACTTTGCTTACAGGTGACATTTTACAGGATCAGAAGAAAGTTTTTGAAGATGTGCATGATGGTTTTTGTAACATCCAGAATATTTTGTTGAAATTTCAGCAATGGCGAGAAAAGTTTCCTGACTCCTATTATGAAGCTTTTATTAGTTTATGCATACCGAAGCTTTTAAATCCCCTAATACGAGTTCAGTTGATTGATTGGAATCCTCTTAAGGTATTTATACTTAACATGTGAAAAATTATCCTGATTATATTAGTTACTTAAATTCCCTTACTGTTATGTTAACTATTAAATACCTTACCCTTAGAGTTGCAGCTGAAATTTAGAGCTTTGGAACAGTAGTCAGAGAACATGTGCTTTAAGCTACATTCCTATCTTCTTGGCTCTCACTTGATTTTTAGGCTGAGGCAGCACTAAACATCAGTAAAGCAAACGTATTTTTTTTTTTAGCTTCTTGTATATTAAATTTAAAATCTTCCCAAAAAGTATAAGGTACTGTTGGGTTTGGGGAACAGTATTTTTCCTTTATATCTATTTTGGGGAAAGTAGATATAAAAGCCTTGTTTCAAGAATTCTTAAGTTGGAGTTGACATACTGGAAAGGGTTGCTTAGGGTTGCATTGAGGAGGTGGAATACAAGAGTTCGAAAGGTTTATGGAATAAACAGGATGAGACAGAAAGGGAAAGGTGTTTCATAAAGGCATAAAGAGAGAAATATTAGTTCAGGAGCTAGAAATTGCACAGATATTTAGATCCTAAGTTAAGAAATATAAACTCAATTCACTGAATTTGACTGACTACAGTAAGAAATAAAAGAAATATGAACTCAGCAACTGCCTACTGTGTAACAGGACCTTTAAATCACATACAAATTACATATTTATGCTAACGAGAATTGAAGAGGCCAGAAATAAACTTTGCTTAAAGTGGATGGATTTTTTTTTTTTTTTTTTTTGAGATGGAGTTTCGCTCTTGTTACCCAGGCTGGAGTGCAATGGCGCGATCTTGGCTCACCGCAACCTCCGCCTCCTGGGTTCAGGCAATTCTCCTGTCTCAGCCTCCTGAGTAGCTGGGATTACAGGCACGCGCCACCATGCCCAGCTAATTTTTTGTATTTTTAGTAGAGACGGGGTTTCACCATGTTGACCAGGTTGGTCTCGATCTCTTGACCTCGTGATCCACCCGCCTCGGCCTCCCAAAGTGCTGGGATTACAGGCTTGAGCCACCACGCCCGGCCGGAGTATTTTAAATAAAACAATTCCATGACTGTTTCAAGTGCCTAACAAATGTATATTTTGCTCCTAGCAGACTGCTTGCCATGTGGTAGGCTCTAAAGGCTCTGGCACACAACACACTAGGTAGTTGTTGAGTGTTTGTTGTGTGATTGAATGCATGAAATGCAGCTTCTTGTTATGTTGCTTAGACACCCTGTCTCAGTCATGCTGTCCTGCCATCCTGCCTAGCCTTGGTAGTCTAGTGTTACAATAGGGAATCAATCTCCTCTGATCTTTAGAAAAGCTCTGGTAATTATTGAAAAAATTAATAACTATTTTAAAATACACTAATTTTGAATGGTTTCTTTATAACTTCTATAATTTTCTTTGTAAGTTGGATTCCACAGGTTTAAAAGAGATGCCATGGTTCAAATCTGTAGAAGAATTTATGGATAGCAGTGTAGAAGACTCAACGAAGGAAAGTAGTTCAGATAAAAAAATCTTGTCTACTATAATGAACAAAACAATTGTTCCCCGACTTACAGGTACTGCATTGTAACCTTGATAAAATTAAATTATTTTTTAACAGAGTATGTATTGTTAACTTCTGTTATGTTCACAAATTTTTTTCAGAAGTTTTTAAACACAAGGAAATGTTATGTGTAGTAAAAATCAACAGATGTCAAATTTAAGCTGGTTAAAAATTTTTTGTTTGTACAGGTTGTCGGCCACGAAACTGCTAATACTTATACTGGTTCTAATCCTCTTCTGTCTTATCATCAGCAATTCCAACAGTTGATCATTCTTTCTTCCTAGAAACACTGTCTTTACTTGGCTTCTAATATACCACACTTTTAGTTTCCTGCCCACCTTGCTGGTCTTTGCTGTCTGCTTGTCACCTCTTTGACTTCCAAGTGCCACAGCATCTCAGGATTCAGGTCACTTACCTTCTTTTTTCTATTTACATTTACTCAGTTAGTATTTAAAGTCAATTTAGCGTTTGTGGCATTCCTGGCTGCTTCAGTCATTTTTTAGCACACTTCCATCCATACTACATGTGTCTTCTTTTTCCCTTCAGTTCTCTCATTACGTTTCTTTTCCTTTTCTTTAAAAAACATTACTTTGGCTGGGTGTGGTGTCTGACACCTGTAATCCCCGCAATTTGGGAGGCCAAGGCGGGTGGCTCAGATGAGGTCAGCTCTTTGAGACCAGCCTGGCCAACATTGTGAAACCCCTCTTTACTAAAAATACAAACAATTAGCTGGGTGTGGTGGCAGGCGCTGCCATCCTACTCTGCAGGCTGATGCAGAATAGCTTGAACGTGGGAGGCAGAGGTTGCAGTGAGCAAAGATCGTGCCATTTTACTCCAGCCTGGGTGACAAAGGTGAAACTCTTTCTCAAAAACAACAGCAACAACAACAAAAAGAAAACATTGCTTCATTCCACTCACATCTGCCACTAGCATCTATAAGCACTTAACATTAATGATTGTGCTTCCGACAAGCAAAGACAAGTGAAGTCTTTTGTTTTACCTGTGTACTTGATAAGGATCCATTTCACTATGTCATTGAGAAAGAAGTTTGACAGCAAAGACTCTACAACTCTGTTTTATTTTTTGTGTGTTCATTTTTGAGACAGTCTTCCTCTGTTTTCCAGTCTGGAGTACAGTGGCATGAACATTGCTCATTGCAGACTTGAATTCCTGGGGTCAAGTGATCCTCCCACGTCAGCCTTTCAATTAGCTGGGACTCCAGTCCCGTGCTAGCACAGCCAGCTAATTTTTAAAAGAATTTTTTTAGAGACAAGGTCTTGCTATGTTGCCCAGGCTAGTCTCAGACTCCTGGCCTCAAAATATCTTTCCCCTCAGCTTCCCAAAGCACTGGGATAATAGAGGTGAGTCATCATGCCCAGCCTAGAAGTCTGAACCAATCAGCCTTATACTTGCTTCTTAAGCAACTTGATTAAACTTTAAAAGATTTTGGCTGGGCGCAGTGGCTCATGCCTGTAGTCCCAGCGCTTTGCAAGTTGGAGATGGGAGGATCGCTTTAGCACAGGAGTTTGGGACCAGCCTGGGAAACATGGTGAAACACCATCTCTGTTTATAAATTTTTGAATTTAAAAACAAAAACTTTCAAGACTTTATTTCAGTGAACCTTACGGTGCAGTTGTGGGATGTATTAGAAAGTTACTATTTTTAACTAGCTCTACTAATGATAGAGTGCATGTGCCTCATTTAAGCACTCTGCTGAAAATAATCTAAATACTTCTGATGAAACGTCCCACAAATAAGTAGCTTTGTGAGAAATTAACACTGACTGAATCCCGATAGTGGTTGAATTCTACATATATTTCAAAGATGGCACTAACAGAATGTGCTACTGGATGGGTTGCGCAGCAAGAGAGAAAGAGAGAAATCAAGAATGGTTCCATGGGTCTTGGCCTGAGCAACTGGAAGGACAGAGGTGCCATTTCCTGAAATGAAAAATTCTGAGAGGAGTAAGCTTAATGTGAGGAGCTATGTTAGAAGCTCCATTTGGGACATGTTGAGTTTGATGTAACTGCAATCTAATTGGAAATGTCAGGTCAATTGTTGAATATATGAGTCTTAAAGGGGGAGGTCCAGTCAGAAAGTATAAGTTTGGAATTTATCCACATGATGTTTATTGATGGCATTTAAAGTCATAAAACTGACTTCAAATACTAAGTGAGGGAATGTAAATAGAAAAGAGAAGGTAAGTGACCTGAATCCTGAGGTACTGTAGCACTTGGAAGTCAGAGGTGACAAGCAGACAGCAAAGGCCAGAGAGGTGGGCAGGAAACTAAGAGTGTGGTATCCTGGAAGCCAAGTAAAGACAGTGTTTCTAGGAAGAAAGAATGATCAACTGTTGGAGTTGATGATAAGTCAGATGAGGATTAGAATCAGTCATTGGAGTTTGCTATGTGAATGTCATCTGTGATTTGCTAAAAGCATATTAGGTGAACTGGTAAGAGATAAGGCCTAATTAAAGGGAAATCAGGAACAAAGTGAGAAGAGAGAAATTGGAGATAGAAGTTTAGACAGTACTTTGGGGGATTTTGTTGTAAAAGGTAGGAGGGAAATGGAACAGTACTTGAGGAGGAAGTAGGGCTAAGAGGGGGATTATTTTTAATACAAGATAAATAGTTATTTGTAGGGTGTTGGAAAAAGTCTAGTCTGAATGATGTCAATACCAAAGTGGATGACAGAGTTCTGGGGACAAGATCTTTGACTAAGCCAAAAGGTTGGAATCTCATGCACAAAATAAACAGTTCGCCTGAAGTGATGGCAGGGCGGGTGCTTCATTTATAGGAATAGGAGACAAATTAGAGCATATGGGCACAGATGCAGGTAGGCGTGTAGGTGCTGTGGTAGGAGATCTGTAGAGCTGTTTTTCAGATTGCTTCTATTTTCTTAGCAAATTAGGAAGTAATTAGCTGAAAGAGAGAGCAAGAAAGTAGAAAAATAAAGTAGGAAATAATCATCTAGAAGAAAAAAGTCCATCAACTGAGAATGAGATCAAGGAGAAGGGAGAAGGTATAAAGTAATCATCTAGGTGAGAGAGAGAATGAATGGACCTGAAATGGAGAGAGGCTTGCTCAAGTTGTATAGTGATCACGTTAATGTGATTTTTTTTCCAGCCACTTTTTATCTGTTTGGTTGAAGGCGGAGACTCAGTGACAAGGTAAACCTAACTATAGAGAGTTGTAGTTTAGTCAGAGGAGTTTAACAAAGCCCAAGAAGAACCAGGAAATTGAGAGTGTATGCAAATATGTAATAGTAATAATTGGCCATGGATCTTACACTGAATAAGGAGAGAAGTAGTGTTTGTTAGGTTTTGATTATTTGTATATGAGAAGCAAAACAATCTGGCAAATAAATTGTGCACCACTGAAATATTTGTTTCAGACTTCGTAGAATTCCTTTGGGATCCTTTATCAACCTCACAGACGACAAGTTTAATAACACATTGCAAAGTGATTCTTGAAGAACATTCCACTTGTGAAAATGAAGTTAGTAAAAGCAAACAGGTAATAATTTCTAGAGCTGTGAACACCATGATGTATCTGTAAAGCATTATTATTTTTCTTACAGATCTTTGTTTATAAAAGATGCAGAAGTAATTATCAGAAAACTATTTTGGGAAAAGCATATTTACTTTTGATTTATAGAAACTAGACTTTTTCTCAGACCGTACTGAGATGAAAAAAAATTTTTTTAACTAGACTATTTTTCTTCTTTATAATAAGATGAAAGAATACACGCTGATACTTCTGAACACTGTGATGGGAGTGGTAATCATTTTAAAATATACACATACATGTAAAGACCCAGATTACTACTTCCATTCCTATTAGCTTACTTTTCTCTGTTCGGTGATCTGATTTGTGTTCTTATGGTAAAGGCAGCCATCTTTTAGGTTTATGAATATACATTGGTCCTACAGAGATGAACAGGTATAAATTCATAGTGCAAATTCATTTCTTCTAAAGGAAAACAACACTCATTATCTTTGTTCTTTTAGCAAAAATCTAGTGGCATTGTGGCCGTGCTTGAATAACGGTTTCAAAATTAGACTAACACTTATTATATTAACTAGTTATTTGTAATCTGCCAAATAATAATAATCTCTTTAATATTCAAAGTTTACTAGGACAGATCTTGATCTTAGAGTGACCTAGAATTCAGTTCACTGAACATAAGACGTATCGAGGAACTTTTTATAGAGATCTTGCTGAGAATCTGCTAATTCTTTCATTCTGGTATTTTGTTTGTTTGTTTGTTTGTTTATTGATGAAATTGTAGATTCATGCAGTTTTATGAGTAAACCTATTTTAGGATGAGCTTTAGAAAATTAAGAAGAGATTGACAGACTGGAGAATACCCAGAGTAGAATGACAGAGGTGGTTAAAAGCAAGGAGGCATATCATATTCATATTATGAGCACCGTTAAGTGTTTAGCCCTTGGAACTGCGATTACAAAGGAGGAAAGCTGTCAGAAATGAAAGGGAGAAAAGGGATACTAGCCTAATTCTGCCTTCAAGAAGCATGTAATCTCAGAGAAAATAAGATGTACAGAAATTATAATTTAAAACAGGAAGTGAGAAGGAGAAGTAGGGAAGATAATAAACACTTATTTAATTCCAGTAATTCCAATTGTGTACTAGGCACTCTGTAAGGTCTTGTACCTGTCATCTTAATCCCAGCAGCCCTGTTTAAAAAAATGGGTGATCACCAGGCATGGTGGCTCATGCCTGTATATCTGAGTGCTTTGGGAGGCTGAGGCAAGAGGATCTCTTGAGGACAAGAGTTCAACACCAGCCTGGACATCATAGCAAGACCCATCTCTACGAAAAAATAAAAATAAAAATTAGCTGGACTCCCCATTGAGCCCAGGAGTTGAAGCTGCATTGAGCTATGATTGTGCCACCACAATGCAGCCTGGGCAATGGCAAAACCCTGTCTCAAAAAAAAAAAAAAATGGATGATAGACTCATTTTATAGATGAAGAAAATGAATCTTGAAATCTAGTTTTCACAGTGCTGCCATGAATGAGAACTAGGATTTGAACCTGAATAGTCTGCCTCTAAAGCCCAAGTTTGTCACACTGACCACATTGCCTCCCCATCAGCAGTATAGACAAAAGTACTATGTTTTCAGAGGACAGGAGAGAGAGAGGTTACCTTCAGCAGTGGGGATAAGGAAATAATTTGTCTTAGGAGTGTCATTTGAGCTGCGGCTTGAGGGAAAGGACAGGATTTCAACATGTGGCAACAGATAGAAAGGTGTTTTCTACTTAACTCCAATAGGATAAAAACTCAGGTAAAATAGAAACTGTTACAGGAATTACAGATACTTAATTTGAAAGAAGATATACAGAGAGATGGTTTTTGTATTCAAAAAAGGAATAGATTTATTCTGTGTTGTTACATAGCATAGAACCAAGATTAGTAGTTAAAAGCTATAAAGAAGCAGATATATAATTATGTATTTGCTTTTCATACAGGATTATTTAGTTATAAACTAAATGTAAATCATTGTGTTTTACCATTTATTAAATACTTTCACCTTGTCTCATTTGATCCACACAACCCTATAAGTTGTGTTTATTTTAATTGCATTTTATGGATGAAGCTGGGGCCTAGAAGGGCTAAGTCATTTGTAAAATGCTTGAGTACTACGTGGTAGACTTGGCTCTTTGTAATCACTGAAGCCTTTCAGCAGTATTATGGATTCACTCATGAAGTTTTTATAATGGATGTTTTCATCCTGAAACCCCTCTGCTATGAATGTAGAAAATGGGTTGTTTGCATGCCTAGGAGAATAGATTACATCAGAGTTTTCAGTCTCAGCTCTGAATTGGTATTTGGACCAGATAATTTTTTGTCGTGAGAATTTGTCCTGTGCACTATAGTATGCTTAGCGGCATCTCTGACTTGTACCCTTTAGGTGCCACTAGCAATCCCTGGTCTTCACAACCAAAAGTGTCTTTACACATTGTCAGCTATTCCCTAGAGATGGCAAAATGGCACCTGGTACGGAATCACTTACACTACATAATGCCCCAAATTGCTAAGACAGTTTACCAGGGGGATCACTGTATTTCTTCAGTGATAGAAGAGAATGAGACAGGTTCAAGAACGGAAATTGAGTCAGATGACATAGTTTCTGTTTTCAAAGTTAGAAGCAAATGCTGTAAGCTAATGCCTGGTGATAATAGTTTTGATTCTGACTGAAAATCTAAAGTAAATTATTATAGAAGTAGATTATGAATACTTAAAAAAGCAGTAATCACTATAATCTGTCATTGATAGGATTCCCAAATACAAACGATACTTAACATTGTTTATTGAAGCAAATGTAATGTATTATGATTATTCTTAGGGATTAAATGGGGAAATAAAAGCTTAAGTATACCTAAAACAATAATGACCAGTAGGGCAGTGGCTACCTATGGGGAGTCTCTTAGTATTAGATGTCTTCTCAGTTTCCTCCTGTTCAATATTTTTGTTGAACTGAATAAGGAGGGTAAAATACATACTACTGAAACGTGTCAGTGACAAAAAGTTAAGAATTCTGTAAGACCTGTGGATGGTAGAATTAGAATCCAAGATGTCAAAAGATTTTAGAAAATGGATTGACTCAAAAGAACGAATGAAAAAATAAATCCATGTCCTACCCTTGTGTTTAAAAATTCAATTATGTAAGTAAAAGATGGGAGAGACACAGTTTTGAAGCAACATAGGTAAGACAGATTATAATCAACATAAACCCCATGAGTCAGCAGTGTCACTTGAGTAACAGTAAAACAGATAAATGGGAATTTATCCTAGTATGTGTGTGCTATTTTGAGTAAGAATGGCATATTTCGTGATAATACCCACAGATTAGACCTTCCTTGGAATATTGCATTTAATTCTCAGGGTAAGCGTATTAAGTAGAGAGTGTCTTATGATGGTATGGGAAAGAGAAAATGTAAAAAAAAAAAACCTATGATATTAATCTTAAAATCTGGAGAATTGTCATATGGAAGTAGGGCTAGATCTATTCTTCATGATCCCAAGAAGTAAAGCAAGAAGACCAAGGAGTGGAATTGGAAGCTGTAGGAGAGAAAAATTTGTTAACTCATTTTTAACTGATCACTAATAGTCCAAAGTTATGGGCAGCCTCAGGAGATAATGATTCCGTATCAGCAAATGCTTTTAGACCTGGCTGATGGACCATTTAGTAGAAATGTGAAAATGAGTCTAAGCATCACTTGGATGTTCAGATAGATTGGTGGTTTTCAGATTCATTTTTTGTTTTTTATCAACAGAACCTATTTCAAATACATCTTACACAACCTGATACATAAACACACACACATAGAAGTAAAACTGCTCCTGCTTTTGTGAGCAGCTGCCCTTATTCTTCCCTGACCACCCCAACATCTGTCTAGACCATCCTGGGATTACCTCCATGGATATACAGAGCAGCATAAAAACCACTGGCATCACACATAAGTGCCCCTTTAAAGCTGTTTTAAAATATATGTGTATATGTACAAAGGGTTTCTGTGTGAGTCTGAACATGTGATTCAGAATGCTTGTTAAAATGGTGTAGAGTGCCTTATTTTCCACCAAACAAATGATGTTATTTAATACTTAGGAAAGTTAATGGCTCACTGTTTTTAAATATGTGAATTTATGTGGGGTTTTTGTTTTTCTGTCTTTTTTTTTTTTTTGAGACAGAGCCTTACTCTGTCACTCAGGCTGGAGTACAGTGGTGCAATCTCAGCTCACTGCTACCTCTGCCTCCTGGATTCAAGCAGTTCTTGTGCCTCAGTTTTCCAAGCAGCTGGGATTGCAGACACGTGCCACCATGCCTGGCTAATTTTTTGTATTTTTAGTAGCAACAGGGTTTCACCATGTTGGCCAGGCTGGTCTCAAACTCCTGACCTCAAGTGACCCACCCACCTCAGCCTCCCAAAGTGCTAGGATTACAGGTATGAGCCACCACACGCAGCCAGTGAATTTATGTTTTGTTTTAAACAGTCTATTTGGAAATATTAATACTTTGAAAGAAAACTTTCATGTATAAGAGTAGTATTTCCATATTCCCTTTACCCAGATTTATTTGTCCTTCATATTTTGCCCCATTGGCTTTATCATTAACCCTTCCATTTTAATATATACATATAATATTTTTTCTCCTGAATACTGAGAACAAGTTGCATATTTGTTGAGAGAAGGATATTCTGTTTTATAACCAGAGTAGTTAGCAATTTCAGTAAATTTATCAACATTCAGTCATCATTCATACTCCACTTTTGCCAGTTGATTCAATAATGTCCTTTATAGCATTTTCAATGGAACTATTTTAAGAAACAAAAGTTAGACAATATGGAAATATTTGCCAAGGCTGGCATTCAAAATCATTAAAATTAAATGAAAAAGATCGAAGCAGCTTTTTTTTCTAGCACAAACATCTAACTAAATAAGTTACATAAACTCAGATACTATTTTTTAGAGATATTGTCTAGAAAACGATCTTTTTTCTTTTGACAGAATTCAGAATGTTTAAGAAATGGAGTAAAATACAACTGAGTTTTTATTTTTAGCATTAATTAAATGTTGATATATGGGCACTTGAGGAATATGTTACAGATAATTAAGTGGAAAGAGAAAACTTCAGTTCATTATGCTTTTTATGAAAAACATATTTATTTGAATTCTACATTTATGGATAATTCAGGTAGTATACAATTTGTGAAAGCTGATTTTGTGCTGTATACGTTGTCATTGACTTAAAAAATAACTTTCACTCTAGTGTGTAGTATGCCATTTTCATTTTTCAAATATGAAGTTTTTTAAGAATGAGAATATCATTAAAGAAATACTGCTAATACATGAAAAAAAAACCCTCATTATCTTTTCATCCTAGTATAAGGACTAATACCATTATAGGATTTTTTCATCCAGACTCCTTTTTCAAAGTTACAATCCTAATAGGCATGTAAGTTAGTACACTGCTTCTGCTTAATGTTATCTCAGTGCATATTTATTGTTGTCTGTTACTATAGTCAGCATAAACTTCAGCTAAAGTTTATGATAGATTCATTCGATGGATGTAACATGTCCTTAAAATTCCCTATGATTGAATATTTTGGTCATTTCCAATTTTTTATATACAAAATGGAGTTCCCTAAGTGGATTTTCCGTGTCACAAGACACAAGACAAACCAACAGTGGACCCACAACTAGAGTATATGAAAGGCTTGTATAAATCAAAAAATAAAATAAAATAATAAAAAGACAGAACCTAATACAAAAAGATAGCAATGTTGGTAAGCAGCTTAATTAGGTATTTTGCAAAAGGGCTTGCCAAGTGGCAAATGGGAATATGAAAAGATGCCCAACAGCACATTGCTCAACAGGAAAATGAGAATTAATACAGTGAAATATGAGTGCATACCTACTACAATTACAAACACTAAAAAACAAGAAAAACCAATTATAAGTATGTAGGGAAACAGGATTTATTTTATACTGTAGGCAGGAATGTCAATGGGATAGCACTATTCTAGAAACAGTTTGGTTTTTTTGTACATAGTTGAATGTATGGACATGGACTATACTCCAGCACTTCCATTTCTATGTATATACCTATTAAAAATGTATGACCATGCATACTAAAGGACATGTACAAGAATTTTTATGACGGCATTATTTATAATAGCCACCAAACCAGAAATCACCTGTGTTCCATCAGTATTCATGCAACAAAATACTATATAGCAGTGAAAATGATCCAACTATAGCCATATGCAGCAACATGGATAAATAAGGTTTTTTTGTACCCAATTGATAGTTATTATAACAGCTGATTCTGTGAGTGTGGACAAATTTCTACTCCTGTTAAAATTATTTTTTTTTTTGGTAAATACATTTCTACCTTTGACTATCACTGATGCTTTTCAAATTTTTAATTATAGGATTTACTTAAATCCATTGTTTTGAGAATGAAGAGGGCAGTGGAAGATGATATCTTTATCCCTCTGTATCCAAAGAGGTAAGAGCTGTTAATTTCTAGATTGTTTGAAATAGCTGATCATAGAATACAGATTTAAGAATGTAATGCAAAAGAACTTGTAGTGTTTTCAAAATGTGTACACATATTCTATGAGGATGCAAATTGAGATTTCAACAAGTATTTCTCAGTTACCTACTTTATGCTGTACTTTATGTTTGGCACTTAGATGTATTTTTGTTTGGTTGATTTTGGTTTTGGTTTTATATATATCCTAGGAACATAGCAGGTGACATAGAGTGGTAAAGAGCACAAGTTCAAGAGCACAAGTCCACTGTTAGTAGATATTTTTATGTTTTTTTCATCTATAAAATAAGGATAGAATAAGGCACTAAGCCTACCTCACAGGATATTAAGGAGATGAAGAGAGTGACAGCAGTGCCTGGCACAGAGGAAGCACAACGCTGAGGAACCAGAAACTGCACCTGTAAATTCTGCAGTCACTTTAAATTATGAAACAAGTAGTATTTGATGTATGATCTTACATTTCGTTAGAAGACATTAATTATAATGATGCATGAACTATAGCAGTCCAGTGAGTACTGACAGGATGGAGGAGCTTTATTGAAAAGGAAAAAAGGAACCTCAAAGCTTTCTGATTTATTTTGAGTCATGAGATGTCTACATGTAAAAATTCTGTCATGGTAAATTTTGCTTTGTAATGTTTTAGATAGGTAATGCATTCACATGGTTCAGATGTATGAATGTGTATATTATTTATTTATTTATAAATATGAATTATGTTATTAAAATAATATATTAAATAATAAAATATTATTTACATTAAAATGAAAAGTTTTACTCCCACCCTGACTCAGTTTTTGCCCTTCTCCCTCTACTCACATGTGTTTGCATTAATAATCACCTTGAGTAATTTTTATTTTTCAAGGCTTTCTTCATGCAAACAGAAGTACTTATATAGGCTATAATCTTACGTTACCCTCCTTTCTACAGCAAAGGAAGTATACTGTTAACAGTTGTAATCTGTTTTGTACCTTTTTTTCGCTTAGTAACTCTTTGAGATCTTTCTTTACATGTCATCTATCATGTACAGTTTCCTCATTTTTTTTTTAAGCTGCAAAGTTTGCCATCACTTAGATGTCCTGTGACTGGTGGTCATGGGAGTGGTGAACTATTATCATCACTGATGTTGTAAACAATGTTATAGACATATTCTGTTCTTGTGCACGTATATCTACAACTGGCATTCTCAGAAATGGGATCATTGGGCAGAGTATGCATACATTTGTAATTCCAGTGGATATCATCAGACAATCTCTGTTTATATTCCATTAAGGTTTAGTGTGATTGGTTTAAAAGAAAATCTGATCTTAAACTCTGATTCTGAAAGACTAATAGTCCTTTGCATTTTCTCCTTTCTCTTTCTTTTTTTTTCTAATTAGTGCTGTAGAAAACAAAACATCACCACATTCAAAGTTCCAAGAAAGACAGTTCTGGTCAGGCCTAAAGGTGAGCAAAAACTGCAAAAAATGAAAAGGCAAATTTTGTAAAAATCCTGTTTACTATAGAACAAAGAACAACAAACTTCTTCTGTAAGAATGAGATAGTATTTTAGGCTTTGTGGTTCACATGGTCTCTATCAAATTACTCAGCTCTGCCACTGTAGCAGAAAAAACAGTACATAAACGGATGAGCATGGCTGTGTTTGAATCAAACTTATGAACACTGAAATTTGAATGTCAAGTAATTTTCTCATGGTTAAAGACAGGTTTAAAATATCTTGCTTAAAGACTGGTTTAAAATGTCCTTGAAAAATGTTAAAACCATTCTTAGCTTAGGGATTCTACAAAAAAACAGGCGACAGGCTAGATTTAACCCACATGCTATAGTTGGCTAACCGCTGGCCTTAAAATTATTGCTAAGTCAGTGGCAGTAGGGATGGGAAGGAGAAGAGGGTTCAAACAATCTTTAGAAGGAAGCTTTGAAAGGACTTGATAATTGATCGAGGGAAGATACATCCGGGACAATTAGAGATACAGAGTTCTAAGAGGTGGTTGGATACATGCATCTGAATTTCAGGAGACAGATCTGAGCTGGAGATTTGGGAGTCCCCTACCTGTAGGCAATATTTGGAGCCATGGTCATGAATGACAAGCTCTAAGGAAACTGAATGAAGCAAGAGAAGTAGGCTAAGGACAGAACCTTGGGAAATAAAGAAGAGAACGTAGAGCCTTCAGGGAAACTGTAGAATCAGTTGTGAGCCTAAGGATGATCACAAGAAAATGGCCTCAAGGAAGCTAAATGAAAGATTTTCAAGAATAAAGAAAAGAGTGTTAAATGCCACCAAAGAGAATTAAGAGAAAGACTGAAAATGTTTCTTGGATTTGACAATTAGAAGGACATAGGTGACCTCAGCAAGAGTGTTTTAATAGTGTGAATTAATATTTGTCATGTGTTGAATAGGGGAAAAGGCTTTCTGGGAAGAGGGAACAACATCAACAATGAGATAAAATGTGAAAAAATATTACATTTTAGTAAAACTAATAAATATAGTACTGGAAAGAAACTAGGCAAGCACCATAAAATTCACAGAAAGATCTAAATTTAGTAGAGGGAAAGGGCAACCAATATTTATTTTATAAGACTTTGTTATGATTACTTAATCCGCATTATCTTCAGACTCACAGGTGATTATTAATTTTTATGTATCAGAGCAGTGAAACTCTCAGCATTGAATGCCTTCTCAAGGTCACATGTCGGTAATATTGTCCCCAGTTTTGACAGTAGTTCTTTATGAATCATGTGGTTCTATGGTCTTAAACTCGATGGCCCCTGGCTCTGAGAGAAAATGAATTGGGAAAGAGGATTATTTATCTGGGAAGGCTCTAGTGAAGTTACTTGAGACTGACTTGGGGATGGTTATCTTAGAAAATGAAAATAAGATGAGCAAATACATGGAGGAGTCTGGAAAGAATCAAGTATTTATTCAGAGATGGTCTATTCTAAACTGGACAGTTCCAACAGGGCTAATTGTAGTGAGAATTTGAGTTAGACCAACTCCTTAGGTTTGTTAGAGACTATTACAGTTTCTTTTTGGAGAAAAGGTACATATTTACGTGATGTTTTAATTTAGCTCTTCCGCAATATTCTTCTTTGGAATGGACTTCTTACAGATGACACCTTGCAAGAACTAGGACTAGGGAAGCTGCTAAATCGTTACCTTCTTATAGCTCTTCTCAATGCCACACCGGGGCCAGATGTGGTTAAAAAGTGCAACCAGGTAAGTTGTGTAGTAACTGATTCTAATTTTCATTTCTAAAAAAATTAGCTATTAAAATCTATTACTGAGCAAAATAATTAAATGTGTGGTACTCATATAAAAATAGACAAATGAATGTAACAAACTAGAAATCCAGAGCACCTCTTCCATATTTAAGAAATAGCATACTGGTTCGAAAAGGAAAAATCACTTCATAAATGATGCTAGATGGCTGGCTGTTTACAAAAAGGAATGTTAGATCCTCACCTCTCACTATACACCAATAAAAATTTCAGATAAAATTTTTTAAAATATAAAAATGAAACTGTAAAATATACTAAGTGGTAAATGACTGTGCTTGAGAGTGAGGGAGTTCCTTCTAAACTTAAAGACAAAAGGAGAAATTCTGAGAAAAAGTAATAGACTTGATAAAAAATATAAAACTTCAGTGGATCAAAAAACATAAAAACGGGAAATAAAACATAAAACTGGGGAATGTGTGCATTGGGCTCACTATACTATTCTTTCCCCTGATGTTTATGTTTGAAATTTTCTGTAATAGAAAGGTAAAAAGAAAAGTGAAGAATATAGGAAATAAAAAGTTATTAACATGTAACAAAGATTAATCTTCACATTAAATAAAAAAGCTCTTTACAAATTAGTAAATAATTCAAATGTTCTGATTAAAAATGGCCGAAACACATGCAACAGTCAAGTCACCTAAAAGGATATGTAAAATTAACCTTAAAATATGTGAAAAATAATTAATAGTACTAATAATCAAAGAAATGGAAATTATTTATAGTAAGGATATTTATTTTACAAGTTGTGTTGGCAACATTTTTTTGCTGTTGTTTTAATTCCAGTGTTATAAACACAAGAAAACAACAGTTCCATCATTGCAGGGCACCATTCACCTAGAGTATGCAGTGCAGTGGTTCTAGAAAAGTCTCCTGCACTGGTAGAAGGAAGGATACAGCTCTTTGGAGAATATTTTGGCATTATGGATACAATACTTTTAAGTTTATATTCTTTGGCTTTGCCAAACTAAGTTGAAAATTAAAGATTCACATATAGATTTTAAGTATAAAGAATATTGTTACAGCATTATTATAATAGAAGATAGTTGGAAACACCTAAATATCCCTAAAAACATGATGGTCTTCTCATAAGATAAAAAAGTGAAAGGAAAATAAATCTCAGGACCTGTCTTAGATGCTTTTGGGTTCACGAAAGTTATGTTTTTGAAGAATTTTTAAGAATATGGGGAAATACTTATTTTATAATATGATTTAAACACATACACACACACAAAACTGTTCCCAGGTAGAATAGGGTACAGCTGCTTGTTCTCACAGTCCAATAGCAAGATGCAGACAGATTGGGAAAGAAGGGAGCTTATTTCTGCAAACAGTTAAAGAGAAAAGGTTTTAGTAACTCACCAGACCAACTGAAAGTTACAAGTTTGTTTTTTTCAGCACTTGCATGCATTCTAAGCTCCATGCTACTTGTGAGTGCACCTACAATTGAGAGTGTTGCATTCAGTATATATCTAATCTTTAACTAGGGTCTGGGGTATGGAAAGCTTTGTCTAGAGTATTGGAAAGTTTTTAAATCTTAAGTGGGGCCTGGTACAAGGAGTATGTGTAAGAACACTTTTATTATTTGATCAGACTTTAAGGTCTGGGAAAACCCAGGTGGGGTCTTAATGGGTTTGTTTTTGCATTTCAGCCAGCCCTTGTACTCAGGCATCAATTTCTCCAGTTCTTTAATGTTTAACTTACACATTCATCAAAATTATAGAAAAGGGTTAGTGAAAATTGATTTATTCTAGTTGCTAATAGAAATCTAGCCTGCCATAAAACTATACATCAATTATTAGCCAACCATGATTGTTCTGGCTATAGTTTTTATATCATACAGTTTTAAGCATTACATATTAAAAATTTAAATAATCATCCATGTTATTTTGTTCAGGTTTAGTTTAGTCCCCTCTGACCATAGAGTCTATTACAAAGTGGAGCAGAAGAAATATATTTACACAGCATTCTCTCCACAGCATATGGTTAGAAAACCAGGCCAAGAAAATAGATTTTTAGTGCTGGGATCACTAATGGAAAAGTTACATGGTTTAATGAGAATTTTATTGAGACTTGTGATACAAAAATAAGAGGAAAACAAGTGCAAGTGGCATTGAATTCCAAGCCAGTAAAGGCTGGTTTTAAAACTTTTAAAAAGAGACAGTTTGTATAACAAAACCTGTAGGATCTTCTGCCTTAGGCAGTCAGTGTGTCTGATTTTTCCTGAATAGTTGAAACAGGTAATTAAGGAATAGAGTAAGTCTTTTTCCTCAACCGTATTTTAAATGCTGACCAACCTTAGAAAGAGCACATTCTAGAACTTTTATTTAGTATGTTATATAATATATAGGGTGCATGTTAATTTTTTCCCCAACTCTCTATTTTCTATAAATAATGATCTTGTTGTTACCAACTGTAGCATAATCTATGTGATTGTCTAGGAATTTCTTTGAATAGTGTGATATTGTGGCAGGCCATGTTTCCATTAGCAAACAGAACAGTCGGTTTCCACAAACCCATTACTATAATTTTTATGAATGCATAAGATAATATTAAAAAACTGGAGAAACTGGTACCTGAGTACAAGAACTGGAATGCAAAAACCAACCCATTAGACCCCACCTGGGTTTTCTAGAATAATAAAAGCATTCTTACACATAGACCTCGTTCTGTCTTAAGAAACTTTCCAAGACTAGAGAAAGCTTTCCCGACCTTAGTCCCTTTAAAGATTAGACAGAGACTGAATGAAACACTCCCACTTGTAGGTACAATCCCACATGTAGCGTGGAGCTTTAAATATATACAAGCACTAGAAAAAAGCTTATAACTTTGAGTTGGTCTGGTGAGTTACTCTGACCTCCCTGTAACTGGTTGCAGAAATAAACCCCCTTCTTTCCCCACTGTCTGCATCTTGTTTTGGGACCTCAAGAACAAGCAACCAGACCTTGTTCTCTCAGGGATCAATGAATTTTTCCTTTCTCTCCTTTTCCCTCCCTTTTTTTTCTCTGATTTCTGCTATGAGGAAGGTTTTTTTTTCCTTTTAAAATTTTTCTAACATTCTTTCAAAACTTTTCTCAAAATCTTAAATTACTGTTAGGATGACATTGATAAAATGTAATTTCTATTTCCAAAAGAAAAATTGAATGAAGCTACATTGATTCATTTTGCTGTTTTATACTTAAAGCAATGTTGTAAATTGATAGACGATAACCATAATTAATTTCTTTCATTCTCTATATCTTCCATTTGATTCCTTAACTCTTAATTTATACAGATCATGTGCTAGGCCACCCAATTTCTTTATAATAGTGAATGTATGTATTTTAGAGTTGTATTGACCAAATATTTTGTTTCTTAGACGTTTCTGGGTTTTAGTTGTAAATTATGTTTTGTACAGATTTCATGACTCACAAGAGTATAGAATTACTAGCACTACTAGGGAATGTTCATAGAGAGTAGTGTATTTTAAGTTCTTACCATTAAAGAATGAATTTTCAAAACATAGCCTTTGACACAAAGGGAAATTTTTACAAATTTTTATTTAACCATAAACTACAAAATGGGGAGAATGATATTCAGCTTGCAGTATCACTATGAGATTCTGTTAGCAAGAGTTATTAGATAACTGTCATTGTAAACCAGCCATGTGTTTTGATTAACAGGTGGCAGCATGTCTACCAGAAAACTGGTTTGAAAATTCTGCCATGAGGACATCTATTCCACAGCTAGAAAACTTCATTCACTTTTTATTGCAGTCTGCACATAAATTATCTAGAAGTGAATTCAGGTAATGCATATTTTATTTTCACCTCTATAAACATAGTTCAAGTATTCTGTATGCTCTCTGCAATTTTTAGAAAGATTTGCATTTTTACTATACTTTAAAAAATTTGTTGAGACTTTGTGATACTGTAGGGTTAGTAGATATTTTTATGGTGACCTTTGGGATGGCTTATGTATATTCATATTTTAAAACATAAATCTCTCCCATATTAAGCACATTCAAAAAACTATAGCACAGGGGAATATAGAATTAAAACTATAAATCAAAAACCTTTTATTAAGCAGTTTTTAAATGTGCTTTTAATTTTCCTGACCATTTTTAAAGACTCAGCAGTTACTAAGTACAGGTCTTCAGCTTAGTATTTATCCAGCAGTAGCTAGCTATCTGTTCTGAATGTTTCATTCACAGCACCAGATGTTCAGGGGCTTAAACACAGTGATATTCCTATTAACTACGTCTTCAAAAAAAATTATTAAGCCCAGATTTGGCTGGGCACAGTGGCTCACATCTGTAATGTCAGCACTATAGGAGGCTGAGGTAGGAGAATCACTTGAACCCAGGAGTTTGAGAACAGTCTGGGAAACATAGCAAGACCCTGTCTCTAGAACAAAAAATTTAAAAAATTAGCCAGGCATGGTGGCACATGCCTGATTCCCAGCTACCGAGGATGCAGAGGTGGGAAGATTGCTTAAGCTGGGAGGTTGAGGATGCAATGAGCTATGATTGTGTCACTGTACTCCAGTCTGGCCAACAGAGCAAGACCAAGTCCCTTCAAAAAAAAAAAAAAAAAAGGCCCAGATTTGTATTATTTGCTAATGTCATGATGTGTGAATACGCTCCCACCATTGCTCCCACCACAATGTTTCATAAAAGCTGATAGCAACACAGCACTACTAAAATTTCTGATGATAGACTTACTCTGTGGTCTTCTACTTTTTACAGTAATTCACATTGGAATTTGCGGGAATACATCCACTAATGGTCTACATTTGAACTTTATAATTAATTGGAGATGGAAGCATCTCTCTGTATTTTCTGCTACTTTTAGATATTGGCTTAAGGTAAAGCTTTTGTTTTAGATTAACAGCAGATGATTAGGTTATGAATTGACCACTGTTCCCTCTACATTGCATTTTTAAAGGGAGAAATTTGTTTTTGTGGTTTTTTTTTTTTTTTCAGGAATGAAGTTGAAGAAATAATTCTTATTTTGGTGAAAATAAAAGCTTTGAATCAAGCAAAATCCTTCATAGGAGAGCATCACCTAGACCACCTTAAATCACTAATTAAAGAAGATTGAATAAATTTTATAGGAAAATGCTAAAATTTTAATATAGTTACACTCAATTCCTTTGCTTGAGAAGAAGCTGGTGCCTCTTCTTTATTCCCTGTAATAGAAGGTAGGATTTGCAAAAAAATGAGACTCTACCTCTGCATTCTCCCCATCCTCAACCTTCTGGCATCATGAAAAGCTGCCATGATTCTGTGGTGTTCTAAGAAATTAAATGCACTGGAGCATTAAGAGGTCAATGTGTTTCCCTTTGATTTTATTGACTGGTCTTTCAATTTTCTTAAAAGGGGAACTGGAGAAACTTTGCCATAGCTTAGGTGAACCATAATAACATCTTTTAGTTCTCTTTAACTACCTTTATTTAAAAATAAATTAATATGAAAAGCTCAGTTGGAGTAAATTATTTGCAAAGTATAAATGAGTAAGGCATTTACTGATTATCAAATTGTCCTTTAGAAATCTGTACCAATTTAATGTACCAACACAAGTGTGAGTGCCAATGAATCCCTACCAGCAGTAGGTATTATCATTTTTTAAAATGCATTGAAAATTTAATAGGTAAAAATAATCTTATTTTAATAGTTTATTTTGTTTTGGCTGTTAGAGAGTGAACATACAGATTTTGGCCATTTGTAATTATTTTTGAAATATCCATCTTTTTCTTGTGGACTTTAAGACATTTATATTTCTAAAGATATTGATCTTTTGCCCATGCTATGTGGCAGTTTTCCTTATTTGCCATTTTTCTTTTAATTTTGTCTTTTATTTTTTGAGACAGGGTCTGCCACTGTCACCAAGGCTGGAGTATAGTGGCACTTTCTCATCTCACAGCAACCTCTGCCTCCTGGGTTTAAGCAATCCTCCCACCTCAGCCTTTCAAGCAGCTGGGACTACAGGCATGTACCACCGTGCCCAGCTGATTTTTGTATCTTTTTGTGGAGGTGTTTTGAAACATTGGGTCTCAAACTCCTGATCTAAAGCAATCTACCCACCTTAACCTCCCAAAGTGCTGGGATTACAGGCTGGAGCCACCATATTTGGCCTTTCTTTTAATTTTGTTGATGTTTTTTGTTGCATTAAGTCATTACTTGTTACCAGGTTACTACTTTGTTGTTGTTTTTTTTGTCATTGGTGGTAGGACTAAGAAGGCAGCAGTTATTTTAAATACTCAGAACATGTGATACCTTTTTTGATAAAAATATTTGTCTAATAAGACTGAGGCAGGATAATCAAAAGAAATTAAGAAAATTTTCTAAAATGTTAGTTTACTAGTAATTTTTCTAAGTCTACTTACTAACTAACTTAATGGAAACCGTAAATACATTTTGCAAATTGTTGCCCAAAAGATAATTGGAAAAAATTGATTATATTGTAGGATTTGAATATATAGCCGACTTTTATGTCACCCCCTACCTTCAAAACTGAGTATAATTTATTTTAGGAGTTGGGTGTGTTATGTCTATTATAGCAGTGAGTATTTGTGATTCACCGAATAATTTTTTAATGTTTATATTAGCTACACAAATTATACAAGAATAGAATCTCATCTAGAAAATTCAAACCATTGTTGAAAAGCAGTTAACATTTCTGCACTACTGTTGTCCCCAGAGGTAACTGCTGTTTTCATTTTAATGTTATCCTTTACCTCTTCTCTATTTACAGAAATGTTACGTGTTTGTATGTGTACATAAAGTTTTGGATTTTTTTACATAAGTAGCCGATACTTTATTGCATATGAAATTTGTCATTTTTTTCTATTAAAATACACATTTGGAAATTACCCTCTGACTTCTGGGTTTTTAACTAAAGATATGTTGGATATTTCCTTTATATTTTTAAGTTCAGCAGAGAAACCTTCCTAGCTTTTTGTGGAAAATATTAAAACTGCTTTCAAAATTACAGATTGACTTAAACTGCTGTAGTCAATTAAATTTCATTATACCTGGAGTTTTAACCCCAAGGTTTTTATATGGCCTATACCTTAATTCAAAAATTTACCTAAATCTCAATGGAAAATTATTTTTTTTCTTACTACTACGAAATGGATGAAATAGAGAGGGGTAACACAACTAGCAAGAACAAAACATTGAGTTGGCAAATCATACCACATCTTAATTCTTTCCCTGGATTTTTTTCAGCTTTTCATTCACATAAAGAATGTAAAATTTGGCTGGGCACAGTGGCTCGTGCCTGTAATCCCAGCACTTTGGGAGACTGGGGCGGGCATATCACCTGAGGTCAGGAGTTCATGACCAGCCTGACCAACATGGAGAAACCTCTACTAAAAATACAAAATTAGCCAGGCGTGGTGGTGCACATCTGTAATCTCAGCTACTCAGGAGGCTGAGGCAGGAGAATTGCTTGAACCCGGGAAGCGGAAGTTGCGGTGAGCCGAGACAGTGACATCGCACTCCAGCCTGGACAACGAGCGAAACTCCATCTCAAAAAGAAAAGTGAAATTTTTGCAGAATCAGACAGATGACTTTAAAGAATTTTTTTCATGATGAAAAAACCATCTCAAAACAATCGATTTTTGCATTTCTTAGGTCCTTGACAAAATGATACTTAGATATACCTAAGAAATGCCGTGTGATACAAATCCTGAAAAAGACATCATGAGAAAATAACAGCAATATCTATCATGAATGTAGAAATAAAACTCCTTAAAATAGCAAATCAAATCCAGCAATGTATAAAAAAATGGTAATATATCATAACCAAATAGGGTTTGTTTGGAAAGTAAGGTTGGTTTAGCATTAGAAAGTCAGCCAGTGTAATCACTCATAAACAGAATAAAGGAGAAAATCCACATCTCGATGACTGTACCAACGAATCATCTCTTACTACAAAAAAGTGTTTGACAAAATTCAGCACCCCCGAGACTACAAAAACCTTTCAGCAAAGTAGGTATCTAAATTCCTCAATCTGATAAAGGGCATCTGTGAGAAAAATCTATACCTAACATATAGGTGAAATATTAAAGCAAGCATTTCTGCTCTCACCATTTTCTGTTCAGTATTGTTCCAGAAGACATAGTCATACAATCAGTCAAGAAAAAAGTAGGCATAAACATTGAAAAGAGTTAAGATAGTCCATTAGTTCACCAGATGCAGTGGCTCAACCTGTAATCCCAACACTTTGTAAGACTGAGCTGGGAGAATTGTTTGATGCCCGGAGTTCAAGATGAGCCTTGGCAACAAGCTTGTTGTAAACATGAAGAGAAATGAAATGTCTTACACAGCATCCAGCACATAGGAGCCTTCTAATGAGGCAGAATAGCCTATCCCTGAAAAAGTGAAAGATACATCATTTCTCTAATCCTTCTAACAGGATAAACTAAATTTTTGATCTTTCTTGAATTATATAAAAGGCTTAGGGAGTTATTTCTTTTAAGCTTATAACTTCCCATCACAACACTACAGGGTAGGTTAGAAAATATATACACTTGAACAACATGGTAGAGTAGGCACATTCAACATCAGAAACACTGAAAAACAAGCTGGGGCTGGGTGTGGTGGCTTACATCTGTACTTGCAGCACTTTGGGAAGCTAAGCTGAGAGGATCGCTTGAGGCCAGGAGTTCGAGATCAGCCTAGTCAGCATAGTGAGACCCCATCTTTAAAAAATAATTAAAAAAAAAAAAAAAAAAAAACAGGAACAGGCATAGCCAGTTTTGTCATAACTCTGGAAAACAGTAAAATGTTTTATAGCAATGAAGCAAATGCTGAATCAAGAACAAGCAACTTTAAAATGGTGAGAAAGCCTTCTGACATTTCTGTTTGCCTTTACCCCACAAGCTCCCTGGTGTTGCAGCAGTCTTGAAAACAGCAACTACATTCTGTGTTGGACCCTGATTCCCATTTCTAGAGGAAGCAGAGCAGAACTTACAAATTCTTGTTTAAGTCTCTTGTAGCCTGTTTGGGGCTACTTAAAGGATTGACAGAGCACTCATCGCTATTTTACCTAACTTAGAACTCAGGCCAGAAAAAGTAGCATCACTTGAAAAAAGTGCAAGGTGAACAAACAACCTGCAAACACCTGGGTTGAAAGACTATAGTCAAGATATCCAAAAACCTGTCTATGTTCTGGGAGAAAAGGCTACAAAGGAGTTTCTTTGGGAAATTAGAATATTCAACAGCACATACAGGGAGATTTAGAAAACTACCTGCATACATAGCAAGAAGGATGCTCAGACAAGACCTGCAAAGACCCTACAGTATTGGGGCTGATTGCTAGGCTCAGTACAAGCCTGGCTAAGTATTGAGGGAAGAGCCCAGCACAGAACCAATCTGTAAAAACTGGAAAGATTGGGAGAGATGTTTGTCAACTAGCTTTAACTCCTTTATTTTAGAAGTAAAACATGACATCTAGCAATTCCACTCAAGACATATACCCAAAAGAACTTAAATACATATACATACATACTTGTTATGTCAATATTTACTGCATTATTCACAATAGCCAAAAGGTAGAAATATCCCAACGTTCAACAGAAGATGGATGAAGAAATAGAATGTGTATACAATGGAATATTATTTAGTCATAAAAACAAATGAAATTGATACATGCCACAATACAGGTGAATCTTAGAAACATTATGCTATGTGAAGTAAGACAGACACAAAAGGACAAATATTGGATGGTTCTGCTAATAAGTAACTATAATAGGCAAATTAATAGAAGGTAGATTCAACCAAGCACAGTAGCTCATGCCTATAATCCTAGCACTTTGAGAGCCAAGGTGGAGGACTGCTTGAGGCCAGGAGCATAGGAAACATAGCAAGACCACATCTCTACAAAAAACCAGCCACATGTGCCTGTAGTCCTAGCTACTCAAGGAGGCTGAGGTGGGAGGATTCCTGGAGCCCAAAATTTTGAGGCTGCAGTGAGCTATGGTCACACCATTGCACTCCTACCTGGGTGATGGAATAAGGCCTTATCTCAAAAATGAAAGATTTGAGGTTACCTGGGGCTGGGAGAGATACAGGAGTGACGTTATTGCTTAACAGTTAACAGAATTTCGGTTTGGGGTGATGAGAAAATTTTGGAAACAGTAATAATAATTTCACAACACTGTGAAGGTAATTAATGCCTCTGAATTGTATGTCAAATGTTTACAATGGCAAATTATGTTATATATGTCCTACCACAATAAAAAAGCTTTAGACTATGCACATTTAATTTTATTTCTGGGGGAATATTTGTAAGAATTTTAAAGATATTCCTACAGAGTAAAAATCACGATGTTTTTGAGCACCTGTACTTACTTGAGCTGATCATACATATTTGCAGAGCTTTAGATCCTGAAATACACCCATCTACCATTCTACCAAGCTTGACACGTGTTTATCAAGGCAGTAAAAGAACAGGTTTTAATAGCTATCTTCTAACAAGATAAAGAGAAGAAAAGTAAAAGATACAGGCTCTTGTTAATCTTTTATTTTGAGAAGTTCTTTTTAGAGATTATCTCAACAAATAATCTAAAGAAGTGAAGGACAGGTTATCTATCACTTGTTGACAGTAGTTAGATGACTATATAATCATTAGTGAAAAAGATGAAGGAAGCAGCTGGAAGCTGCTGACAGACCCCTAGACAATCTCCCTGGACAGACCCCTCCAAGGAGATTGGAAGCCTCTATTCTAGAGAATCTGACCAAACCAAAACGTTCATGTGGAGGAGGGGACTCCCAAAAAAGCCCATTCAGATAACCCTAAAGTCAACCCCTTCCCACAGTCCAACGCTGTCCAAGTTTTTTAGTTCTTCATTCAACCATAAGACAGCCAAGGATTACCAGTATCCTGGAAAAGCCTGAAATATAGACAACAAAAATAAATACAGAAAGAAATTTGGAGTAAACAGATGTGCGAACTATTTTAAACGAAAAAAATACAAACACTATAATGAATCACCTTATCTATGAACAAACCCATAGATAAAGGCTTTTTCTTTATAAGAAAAGAAACTTTCACAAAGCAAGAAGGGTTCCTAAGATTTAAAAATAGCAAAGAGTTGGAAGATTGAGCTAAAGAGCTAAAAAACAAGAGACTGGGGTAGGAGAGGGAGGTAAGAAAACAGATAGCTGGTGCTGGATATCCAACATCCAAATAACAGTTGTGAGAACAAAGCAGCAGAGAATAAATCAACTGATGCTAAACATCTCCCAGATCCGACAGAAATGAGTTCCTACCTTGGAAAGATTCACCTAAAGTCCAATAAAATGGATAAATATAGACCCACACGAAGGCACAGCATCGTGAATTTTATATGAGAAACAGAAACCGAAATGGCTTTGGATTTCTCAATACAATAATGGAAATTAAGAAAATGGAGCAACAATATTTTTAAAGTTCTGAAAGAACATTACTTCCCACCTAAATGTATAAAATATCAATCAAACATGAAAGACATGCAATGTCTCAAAAACTTTACCTCCACCCAAACTTCCTCTAGAAGCTACCAAAGGAGGTGCTCCAACAAAACAAGTTAGTACTGAATAAAATGGAAAACATGGAATCTAGAAAGCAGCTGAGCACAGGAAAGAAGTTCGTCCTAAGATAGCTAGGAACCAGAGGGCAGATCTGAAGGTAACTCAATGGACAGTTTGGGAGTTGCCTGCAAGATTTAGGATACTACTGTACTTTTTAACCTGAGCGACAGTATGCCCAGGTGAATACGGACCAAATTATATGCTTTTCTTTAGCATGTTTGATTATATCACAGCTTTCCATTCTGTGCTGCATGGATCAGCAACAACACTCACATCATCCCAAAGGTACTGTTTTGACCTAATCCTAAAATAGAGTTTGATTCATCATGCTTTGAGAATAAAAAAATATACTTCCTTTAACCACATTTCTGTCACATTCAGTTACCCAGCCCATGCTATAATCCTGCCAAATACCCTGTCATGAGCCTTCTGTTTAGCAGAACTCACTCATAACCTTAGCTATGAACGTGCTCAAAATTGGCTTTTGTAAACTCTCAGGGGAAGCTGAAGCCAGACTGTGACCCAAAGACTGTAATGTTTTCCTTGAAGCCTTGATGCAACAATAGCAATACTGCCCCTTTATACTGGCTAACAGGTTTTTCAAAATTAAATGTATTGTTGAAGAATATATATGTTAGAAGTAAACTAAAAGAAACGCAAGGGAATGATTAACGAGTCAAGATATTTACATTTAAAAAGGAGAGGGATACAATTGCAAACACGCAGGAGTCTTCTTAGATCTTTTTAAATGTTTTATTTCTTAACCGTCTTAGATATTACTAAATGTTCTATTTCTTAACCTGACAGTGGGTACATGAATGTTTATTATTCTGTAATTCATACATTGTTGTGTTTATAAACTTTTCAAAATTTACAAAAAATCACATCATCTATTCCCCTTGCTCATTTTACATGCTCATTAAAGAACATTAGCTTTGCCTCCAATAAGCAAATGGACATGGGACCACTTGGCATGTGTAATTCTCTTTTTAGAGTAATAAACTGGTGTACAAGTTTTATTTTAGAAAAAAGTATTAATAAAACAATAAAGGCTTAGTTCACATAATTACTATGTTCCTATAAATGAAATTAAATTGGTCTCAAAATATAGCCTCTTAGAGCCAATATATCTTCTGCAACTAACCAAATTCATTCTCTGAATCAAGATCTTTGTGATGCTTCAATTTCTTCCCATATCGCAGCTTCAATTTTTGTAGTATCATATTCCCTCATCATATCAAATTCAAGCCACGGCTGACTCCACTTCTGAGCTTCTTTCATTTGCTTTTCAGTTAAACAAAGATCAAATCTGATTCCTTTAATATTAAAATTTGGGCGTTCCCAGCGTTTAGACCAGGGCTTAGGTTTCATTTTCACTTTCAGCTAAGGAAGATTTAAAAAAAAGAAAAAAATAATTAGGCTGATAGGCATAAGCCAAAATTCTTCTGAAGTTTTCATTAAGATGATTCTTTCTTATTTTAAACTTGAACTTCTAGTTTCAAATGTATAACACATACCATATTAACAGGAATTTCTTGGGTAGGCTCTTGTGGTACTGGCTTCATATTCACATCAAAAGTGCTATATTCAGGAAGGGCATCTCGTAAATATAGCAAGCTATCATCCAGCCGTTTCTCTAATTTAACCACTTGAATCTCCTGGATTCGAGGATTATAAAGTTCAAAGCAAATCTCGACACCTAAATAGACACGAAAACATATTCTTATCATCTAAGTCCACATTCCTATGCATCTCATACTACAGTAAAAGCATTTCATAAAGGAATTAGCACAAAGTTTTGCATGGAGAAAACATGCCATTAATTTGAAATTTTTAAGAAAAAGATTACTGAAAGAAATAGAAATAAGCTAAAATCCATTTAAATATAAAGTGAGAAAGTCTGAATTCGAACGATAGTCTAAAAAAGAAAAAATGGTTTTTATAAATATGTTGTCACATATCTTTTCAATTCTCATAGTAGTAACTTCAGAGAAGGTCTGAATTCTTCCCTATGTCATGTTTTTACCTCCCAATTACCTGAAGAAAAATCAGTCTTCCATGTTAAGAGTTTAAGATTTATGATGCAAAAGGGGTAAGTAAATTTTTAAGTTCCAACTTTGGTTAGACGCTCCTTTGATTAAGGATTAGTTGCTTGTTTTGCCTATTGCCCTTCCACCTTTCACCATGTGAGGGCACAGTGCTTGGCCCTTCCAGAGCACAAACAACAATGCACCATCTCAGAAGCAGGGAAGGAGGCCTTATGAAATACCAAACCTGCCTGCACCTTGATCTTAGATTTCCCAACTTCCGGAACTGTGAGAAATAAATTTCTGTTCTTTCTAAACTACCCAGTCTGTAGCATTTTGTCACAACAGCACAGAGTAAGACACCAGAAATGTAAACCAGAGAGACTGCACAAATGCAGGCAGACAATGGTGACATGGATGACGGTGACAGCAATGGAGAGGGACGAACAGACAAAATCGCAATATAGTTTTTGGAGACTGTGCCAAGAAAACCTGATTGACCACATATGTGAAAATAAGTGGATAGGCAGTGGTACCATTTATGGAAATAGAAAAGACTGTGAGTGGAACACCCTGCAAGGGAAAATAAAGGGTTCTGTTTTCAAATTATGCTGATAAGACATCTCAATAGAGTATTGATCAAGTAGTTACATATGCAAATCAGGAACTTGAAAAGGGTCAGTCCTGGAGTTATAAATTTGGAAGTTATCATTATACAGATGGTATACAAAGCCACTGGACAAGAAGGAAACACTAATGCAGGAAGCAGTGATGGGGAAGGTTGAAGTGGGTTATAATAATAGTCAGACATATTATAGAGAATGGCAGGAGGGAGCTAATCCTTTTTGAGTATTCTGTGTCTAGTATATCAAGTATAGTATCTCACAGCTGATTGACTAGAACCATGCAGAGTGGAAACTATAACATCTTAATGCTTAAAGAAAATCAAATGACTCACTCCTATGCTCATTTACTTCTATTATAAGGCCTTTCCAAGTATTTGACCTGATTTAAGGCACAAATTTTTGTGATCAGTCAAGTCCTGCTGAATGCCTACATGCACAGCCCACTAGGTCATTACAGAATAAGCAAGACAGCAACTGCTCTCAGGATCTTTGAAAATAAGAATACTTTGTTGTTGGAAATCATGAAGCATACAACTTTATAAACTTAACTGTACCTGCCATTTTAATTCATAATCTTGCTAGTTTTACTACTTGTTCCTCTGCCTATTAGGAACAGTATACAAACACAATTTTGCCTTTTTAAAATTCCTCCCAAATCATATGAAACAGTGATGATTTTGTTTTGTGTCATAACATAAAGTAAAATGTGGGTATTCATTTTAGGAGCAAGTAATTCATGAGGACATTAATGTCTGTCTTAAAGTACTCATGGGTTATTTACTCCTAAAAGGAATATCCCCACACTGCTTTATAGTCATTTATTTCCCCACTTTGATGTTGCCATGGTTTGCGAATTCTACTTCTAATGACTGTTGTTCCAACCATATTTAATCATTAACCTCAAATCTCAATCCATTTTAAAGCCACAGGCTCCACATCTCCCCTTACAGTCCCCTTTTACTTTCAAGTCTCAGATTTCTTATCCCAGGATGCAGAAACAAAAAGAAATCCTGAGATAACATTTTCTAGACACTGAAAATCATGAAATAAAACTTACCTTGTCCTTCAATAATATTCCTAAGGATAAAAGTAGCTCCAAGTCCTTTTCCTGATCGCTGGATGCAAATCCCCAGAAACTGGCTGATTTTTCCATTGGCATATGGGTCGGATGTAGTAACACGAAGAATACTTCCTACAAGTTCAAAAGAGAAGTAAACTTCTTTTCAGCACACCCAGCTGAGAAGTAAACTTTATATAAGATGCAGAAACAAACAAACAGCATTTCTAGATAACTTCTTAACTGCCTAAATCTTTTAATGTAGGAATAAATACCTCATATCGCATAACCCAGGTATGTAAAAAACAATCTTCTTTATGCAAAGAAACTAACCATCCAATCACTAATAATAAAAGCATACAGCTCTTACTGACCAACATAGAACTCTGGAATGTGGAGTACTTTTCTCCTTTCTAACATATCTTTTCTTTCTATTTGAAATTTCAGAGGATGTGTTCTTCCCCTTCGAGGAATGAATTCAGGACTCAAGAACCTGTGAAAAAAACAATAAATAAATTAATTAAAAGTAAACTTAAAAGGCTGCTAGAAGAAAAATTGTTGCTTTTCAAAGAAATTAAAGAATATGATATTGACATGTTTTATTCTTCATGGTCTAAATAAAAGTCAATCTTATTTCTAAAATTTTTAAAGCTCATGAAAATAGCTAACAATTCCTGAGTACTGACCTGGTATTTTGTTAAAAGCTTTATAAAATGTCTATTGCATAAATTAATCCTTCTAGCAACCATGTGGGTTTGGTGTTATCTCCTTTTTACAGAGCAAGAAACTGAAGCTTAAAAAAGGTGAATAACTAACCCATTACCATAATAGCTATAAATCTGCAAAGATTTAAATGTAGGCATGCCTCTCAATCTCCAGAGCTTATAACCATAATTACAAGCCTCACACTGAGCTATACATGCTATAGTAAATTATGTCAGAAAATATATAAACATATAAATCAGTATTATAAATGGACTTTTAAAATGATCTTCTTGATCACAGAAGATGGCCCTGGAGATGGTGCTGAAGAACTTGCAGCATCTATGGGCTTGTCTGCTGTGTTTGCTGGTCAAGTCTATAGACCAGTTTGAATATGATGGTTGTGACAACTGTGATCCCTATGTACAGATGAAGAATAATAACCGAGAGATGGTATATGACCACACTAGCTCTTCCTTTGATGGAATCATTGCAATGATGAGTCCAGAGGACAGCTAGGTCTCCAAGTGTCAGCTAGTCAGTAACTTTAAGCCAGGTGTATATGCAGTGTCATTCACTAGTTGCCTGCCCCAAGGAATCATGTGGAAGTGAAAAGTCGAGGAGTGATCTCCAAATCCAGAGACACAGCTTCAGCACATCATGTCCCTGAACCATTTTATCTTCTTTGGATGACAGGTGAGGGTGGGAGAGATTTGGCCTGGTGGATTAACAGATGGAATTGAGGAGAAAGTACAATGCTGATCTTCCTATCCATGGCCCAGGGCTGCGCCTTGCCCATGGCAAGGACTCTAGGTCAAATGCCAATAAATATGAACCTCTAGAAAGTTAAGGCCATGACACATCTTTGCCTCCCTCTCCCTTTCTCTTAGGCATGGTAAGAGCTTATTTATCCTGTAAGAATCTTCCCAGAGCAGCAGAGGCCCTTCTACTCCCTATTGACTGTCTCTGAACTTCTAGCATTGCAGCCTTTCTAGTTTGCAAGAAACTAGAAAGTTTCCTTACCTTCTGCCTATCATAAGGTGCCATCCAGAGGCCAGGTAACCCCATCAGCTTGGTAGTCCTGGTGTCTCATGGTTGTATCTTTCTGCCCTCTAGACCTGGCACAGCAGTATCGTTTGAAGAAATCCTGAGGCTTCATAGTGCTCTTTGCTCCTTGACCACGTTTAATAATTCCTGTTTTTTCCCCCTGCTCCCCCTATACCTTAGGCCAGTGCCACATCCTTGCATTTCACATTCTCCTAACTGGAGACCCTTGGGCATTAGGTGACTGCTGGGTCCTACTCTGCCTTCTTTGTGCCTCTGTATGAAATAAGCCCTTCCTTTTCTCCTCTGGCCTAGTAGGGAACCTTGGGTAATGTCTCATTTTTGGCCAAGGTGAGGTATTTGTTTTAGAATAAAAAATTCACCATAAATTATTATTTACTTAAATTTCTAGAAATTTCTAGAAAATAAAAAGAGAATGATTAGACCCTGCCTGTTTATCTCAGGATTGTTGTGATTGCAGAAATGAAGCTATATAAAAATTGTGTGAGTCTTATAAAGGTGAAATCCTTTTGCTCAAAAAAATAATAATAATAATCTTTTTTACTTCTATAACTAATTTTAAACTAATTATGAAATATTTAATCTACATTAAAAATATATATGACAGTACAATGAATATTCATGTCTCTACCACCCACCTCAAGAAATAAATTACCAATATTGTAGAAGCCCCTGTGTATTCCTTCCTACTCCCTATAACTACTATCCTAAATTTGGTCATTATCCCCATGAATTTTTCTTCAATTTTCTACTTTGAAAATTTTAAAACCTACCAAAAATAGTAATACAATGAACACCTGTAGATCCTTCATTTTACTTTTACCAACTGCTCAAATTTCACTGTATTTGCTTTATGCATATGTATCATTTTTTTCTGAACCATTTGAAAATGTCAGCCAGGTGTGGTGGCTTACATCTGTTATCCCAACACTTGGGAGGCTGAGGAGGGTGGACCTTTGAGCCCACGAGTTCCAGACCAGCCTGGGCAATATAGTGAGACCTCGTTCTAAAAAAAAAAAAAAAAAAATTTTTTAAATGCCAGGCATGGTGGTGGGTACTTGTAATCCCAGCTGCTTGGGACGCTGAATAGGGAGGGGTCCAGGAGTGGGAGGTTACAGAGCCAGGATCATGCCACTGCACTCCAGCCGGGGTGACAGAGCAAGGCTCTGTCTCAAAAAAATGGAAAAGCAAGGCATTTCATTCTTCAATAATTTAGAAGGCTTATTCTAAGAATAAGGACTGGCTCCTATATTATCATGATACCCTTATGACACCTATAAAAGTTAGCATTAATTTGAAAGCATAATCCAATACAAATGTTTCCAATCTTTTGGCTTCCCTGAGACATGCTGGAAGAATTATCTTGAGCCACACATAAAATAAACTAAGAATGGTTGGTGAGCCAAAAAAAAAAAAGGCAAAAAAAATCTCATAATGGTTTAAGAAAGCTGACAAATTTGTGTTGGGCCACATTTAAAGCTGTCCGAGGCTGCACGATGGGCTGCAGGTAGACAAGCTTGATCTAATACAGAGTGCATACTAAAATACATGTCATCAACCTGGGAAGGTATTTTACATCTATTCGTTGCTCAATTCAAAATACAATCAAGCTTCACAGATCATATTTGGTTGTTAGTCTCTTAAACTAGGACTTTTCCCCATCTTTGTATTTTTATACCATTAAATGTTTTGAACAGTCAAGGCCTACTATCTTATTCCTGGATTCTGGATTGTTTCCACATGCCTAGACTAAGGTTAAATGATTTTAGAATATTACAGAGATGATGATGTGAACAACATATTCTGTCACATCAGGAGACACATAATATCAGCTGGTACCACTAGTCGTAAAGTTAGGTTTGACTGTACCGAAAAGTTTCAGAATGTCCCCCTTACATTTCTTTTTACTTTACATATGCATGTATGTCTAGGCAACATATATTGTTTAGTATAGTTTTTTGTTTTTTTCTGAGATGGAGTCTTGCTCTGTTGCCGAGGCTGGAGAGCAGTGGAGTGATCTCAGCTCACTGCAACCTCCACATCCCGGGTTCAAGCAATTCTTCTGCCTCAGCCTCCCGAGTAGCTGGGATTACAGGCACATGCCACTAACACTGGCTTTTTTTTGTTTTTTGTATTTTTAGTAGAGATGGGGGTTTCACCAAGCTGGTCTCAAACTCCTGACTTCATGATCTGCCCTCCTTGACCTCCCTAAGTACTGAGAGACAATGCACCTGGCCTATAGTTTTAAACTTCATAAAAATAACATCCTACTACATTAATGATTCTACAGGGTTTTTTTTACACATATTTGTAAAATCATCCATGTTTAAAAGTTAGCTCTAGTTCATTTTTCACTGCTGTACAATATTCTGTCATATGAATGGATCTGCCTATTCACCTACTGATGGATATGTAGGCTGCCTCTGAATTTTTGTTACAAAAAATACTGTTACACTCATTCTTGTACTTGTCTGCTTGTACATACATGTTAGAGTTTCTTTAGGCTGTGTGTCTTCTGAGAAGATATACACAACTTAAACTTACTAAATTCTGTCAAATTGTTCTCCAGAGCATATAATTCACATTCCTATTTAAGTGAATTCTATTAAATATCACCTTTTAAGAGAGATATTCCACGGGTGGATCAGGAGTTCAAGACTAGCCTGGCCATGATGATGAAACCCCCATCTCTACTAAAAATACAAAAATTAGCTGGGCGTGGTGGTGCATGCCTTTAATCCCAGCTACTTGGGACGCTGAGGCAGGAGAATGGCTTGAACCGGGAAGCAGTGGTTGCAGTGAGCCAAGATCATGCCCCTGCACTCCAGCCTGGGCAACAAGAGCAAAACTGTGTCTCAAAACAAAACAAAAGACAGAGAGAGATTCTAGTTTTACCTTCAAAAAAAAGTTTTTATTAGGAAATATTTTCTGAATTTCTAGGTTCTCTAACTCAGCAAGTTTACTTCTATTTAAATCCATGGAATATTTTAAATGTTAAACAACAACAACAAAAGCCAGGTGTGGTGCCTGTAGTTCCAGCTATTCAGGAGGCTGAGACGGGAGGATCACTAGAGCCCATGAGTTTGAGGCTGCTGTGAGCTAAATCACCATTGTATTCGAGCCTGGGTGACTGAGCAAGATTCAGAAATTAAAAAAAAAAAGAAAAGAAAAAAAATCCCAGAAGTAATCCAATCGACAACCTACAGCCCTTTCAAGAAGCCTATAATCATATCAGGTTTTTGCTCTGAACTCTGGCTTTTTAAAAAGATTGTTACACAGCTCTTTTTTCAGGTCTTAAGTCCTTCAAATTTACATGTATCTTCAAGATTACCACCACTCATTTAAGTTTTTATTCACACTGTTTTGATAAGTAAGTTTCAGACATAATTCAGAGGCAATTTTTACTATGCCATGTCTGCCAAAACTTCCAACCTAAACTATAACCAATGTTTTAAGTTGGCCGATCGATTCCTATCCAGGATTAAGGGTCTTTTGAAAGAAAAGAACGGCTCGTGAACGTAAACCAGTACAAATAGGATGTACCTCAGACAGAGGAAAGTGCTTAAAATACGGGGAATCCCTACTTGAAGTTCTGACTCAATAAAACTGCAAAGAAGTTCAATGCTGGCTTGGGGAGACTCGAGGAAGACAGAACAGAGAGATGCGCTTTACAAATGCAGGCTCAGGAATCCTACACACCCCCAGGTGCAGGGGGAGGTGCACTCCCCACCTTAGAGCCGGGACGTCCAACGTGAATCCGCTCACGCGCGCATCGACCCCAGTTGCCAGCCTGGCGCCAGGGCAGAGCCTCACCTGCGTTCCTGTTGCGCGAGGCGGTGCTTATCCTCAAAGACTGGTTTCGGCGGCGGCTGGAAGGCGCCGGGCTCGGAAGGCCCAGTGCTCTGTTGCCGGACATGCCCTGCGTGAAACCCTGGGAGAGAGGACGACGGAGGTCAGGACTCTCGTGCCCGCCCTGAGATCCTGCAGACCCCCGCAATCTCCCCCAATGCCAGGGTTGCCTCTGATATCCAGGCTCGCGTCCTCCATCCTGACCTTGGGCTCCTAACGCCCCAGAGCTCGCAAGTCCCGTCCCACTTACTGCAGGCGATAGAGGTCTGAGCGGGGAGCAGCGTCCTGGCGGCTTGGAAACTCCGGCCTAGGCCCATTGCAGCCCCTTGCCCCGCTGCAAAGCAGGACGCCATGTCAGCTAGCTCACGTCAAGACTACAACTCCCAGTAATCAGTGCGATGCGGTTGCAGCTACCTGCCACCGGATGGCGGCTGCTATGGGACAAAATGAATAAGTTTCTCCCCAACTCCTTTCCTGACGTCTTAGGAAAAGTGCAAATTTCTCTAGTTATCCATAATGCGCCAAGTTACACCTCTCCCACAGGGGTGTTCTCCCAGCCTAGAAACCTCTTTCCTCCCCACCTCTGAATCAACTATCTTCTCAGGCAAGCTTTCGCTATGCAAAAATCACTGTAGGCCCTCGTTCCCACTAGGTGCCTTGATGGGCAGCTCTGATCTCATTTGCAATTCTTTCTTGTGTAATCATTAGATTAGTATTTAAATCTGCCATTATAGTGTAATGAGGCAATGGAAGGGACAAAGTCTTTTTGCTCACCGTTTTATCCCAGCACTTAGCACCTACCTGGGCCTTAACTAAATCTTTGTTTTTCTTTTGTTTTTGTTTTTGTTTTTTTTTTTTTGAGACAGGGTCTTCCTCTGATGCCCAGGCTGGAGTACAGTGGCCTGATCATGGCTCCGCAGCCTCCAGCTCCTGAGTTCAGGCAATCCTCTCACCTCAGCCTTCTGAGTAGCTGAGACTACCGTCTCGCACCATCACTCCCAGCTAATTTTACTAATTCTTTGTTGAATGCACAGAAAGGAGAATTAAATAGTTTCTGACAGAACTGCTGGCCTGAAGTCCTTGAGACTACAGAACGCATTAAGCCTTTGAAGAACCCAAATGAATTTGGGCTGGGCAACTGTGGATATGGATAGGTGGGAGAAGTAAAGCTAAAAAAGGTAAATTGTAAGTCTTGTAAGAAATATGGAAAATGACTGAGCATGGTGGGGCATGCCTATAATCCCAGCATTTTGGGAGGCCAATGCAGGAGAATCCCTTGAGCACGTAAGTTGGAAACCAGCCTGGGCAACATAGTGAGACCTTGTATCTAAGAAACAAGCACAAAGCCAGGGGCAGTGACTACACCTGTAACCCCTGCATTTTTGGGAGGCCGAACTGGGCAGATCACCTGAGATCAGGAATGTGAGACCAGCTTGGCCAACATGGTGAAATCCCGTTTCTATTAAACATACAAAAATAAGCCAGATGTGATGGCAGGTGTCTGTAATCCCAACTTCTTGGGAGGCTGAGGCAGGAGAATCACTTGAACCTAGGAAGCCAAGGTTGCAGTGAGCCAAGATTGTACCATTGCACTCTAGCCTGGGCAACAAGAGTGAAACTCTGTCTCAAAAAAAAAAAAAAGGAAGAAAGAAAAGAAAAAGAAACAAACATACCAAAAAAGACATTTGGTATTTGTTATCTCAGCAATGGTGACAAAATAGAAGGATTTAACACTTAAGAGTAATGTGATTATTTGACTATATGTTAGTCATTCCAGTTGCATTAGTATCCCAAAGCTACCTAAAATTTAGCATATCCATACTGAGTTCCAGACTTCCTTTCTAGTATTGGCAATCTCAAGGAATGAGTTCAGCATCTACTCTCCTGCCTAAGCCAAAAATCTCAGTGTTATCCTTGATTCCTCCCTATGTTCCCGTGGATGAAGTTCCAAAAACTATTCCTGGCACCATCAGATATCTCAGGAATCCATATACTTTCTCATCCTCCTATCCATATTTCCAATCTAGGACACCATTTTTTCTCTTCAGGATCCCTGGAGATCCCTGCAACAGACTTCTCATTAGTCTTCCTGCCTCTAGTTACCTCCAGTCCTTCACACAGCAACCAAAAATGATGGCTCAGAATACATACCCTGTTCTTGTCTTTCCCCAGTTTAAAGCCTTACTGTTTATTTTGGACACAAATCAAATACTCAAAAAATCAACCAATCTCTGCAGCTTGGCCCCCAAACTCTGGCTTGCCATCCTGAAGAACATGAGCTGTTTCATCAACCTTGAGGAACAGGGTCATGTTTTGAGCACAGAATTCAAGGTGCTGTGAAGAAAGGGCCTTCTATTTTAACTCTAGCTTCTTTTTTTTTTTTTTTTTTTGAGACAGAGTTTCACTCTTGTTACCCAGTCTGGAGTGCAATGGCGCGATCTCGGCTCACCACAAAGCTCCACCTCCTGGGTTCAAGCAATTCTTCCACCTCAGCCTCCTGAGTAGCTAGCTGGGATTACAGGCACGCGCCATCATGCCCAGCTAATTTTTTGTATTTTTAGTAGAGACAGCGTTTCACCATGTTGACCAGGATGGTCTCAATCTCTTGACCTCGTGATCCACTCACCTCGGCCTCCCAAAGTGCTGGGATTACAGGCTTGAGCCACCGCGCCCGGCCAACTCTAGCTTCTTTGATTAGAATAAGAATTTATTCTATAAATGACATGAAATTGCACAACCAAAATTTCAGATGAGCAGTATTTTGGCTCTTCTGCCTACCCAAAAAAGTAGACTTCGAGCCCTTAAGAGTGAAAAGAAGGAGAGGCAAAGATAATCATAACTGGTAGTGGTGAAGATTTTTCTGTATTAACTACAGAAAACTTGGCCTTCACTCTTGCTAGGATTGGTCCTATGGGTAGTGGCAGAGAAGTAAGACAGACCTTTACAGGAAGATGGCAGGAAATTTACTAGACATTATCAAGACACACTTGCTGCCCTCCCTGACAAAACTAGAAGAATAAACCTAAAGAATCTTAGTTAATTTTTTCCCACATTCCTGCCCACCCAACATCCATCAGGCCATTTTGACCTTATCCTAATGTGGAGAATGAGCTGGAGTTTAAATTATTTCACCAAACAACTTCATGGAGCAAAATCAACGAGCACAGAGCTGCCTCAACCATTTTGTCAGCTGATTACAAGAATGGAACTTTGATTATTTACTTCTGTGTTTTACAGCCATGGAAAGGAGATCATGAACATCATTACATGATGTTCAGCCAAGGGAAGAAAGTGTTCCAGGCAAACTGGCTGATTTAGCTTATTGTGACATCAGGATCCTTGTCTGTTTTGCTCATTATTACACACTCTAGTAGAGTATCTGGCACCCAATAAATATTTCCAAGTAAAATTAGGTAGATCACTCTGATTGTACTTTAGAAAAATGGGTGGGAAGCAGGAAATTATTGGAATATTCCAAAAGAGAGATGGTGCTAACCTGGAAGCAAAAAAAATGATTCTTAAAGTGTGAGCCCTTGACTAGCAACATCAGCTTAACCAGAACATGTTAAAATACAAATTCTCAGGTCCCACCCCCAGACTTACTGAATTTAAAACTCTGGGCATGGAACCCAGCATTCTGTGCTTTAACAAATCCTCCAGGTGATTCTGATAGTTACTCCAATTTGGAAACAATAGAGGTAGAGGCAATGGTGATAGAAAGAAGTATTTTTTTTTTTCGTCTCTCAATCTATTTGTGAGGTAGAGTCAGTAAAATGATTTCTGAAGTATACTAGCTATTAATCTTAGCTAGTATAATTACTATATAAGGCAGAGAGGTTCCCATCTCTGCCTTCACTTCTTCGTGGGTAATAGGATGGAAATATACCTACCTCAATGGGTTGGTGTAAGGATCAAATTGAGATAATGCATAAATAAAGTTTGGGGATAAATGTATAGATCATAATGAATTTTTTCCAATCTCATTGAGATATGATTGAAAAATAAAATTTGTATATATTTATATACTTAAGGTATACAACATGATGATTTGATATACATATGAAATGTGAAATGATTACCACAGTTGAGTTAATTAACATCCTTCACCTAATTTTAAAAAAAAAAGCTTTTTGTAAAACTTACTTTAAAGATGCCAGCAAGAGGAAATTATAATTTGATTCATCTATTAACACATCCAAAAAAAGAATCTTCTATACCTAGAAAACCCTAAATATGCTACTGTAAGAATTCTAGTCCTGTTAAGCAACTTGAGTAAAGTTTCAGGATACACAATTAATATGCAGAAATCAATAGCATGTCTATACACCAACAATGATCAAGTTGAAAACCAAATCAAGAATGCAATTCCATTTACAATAGCCACCAAAAAAAAAAAAGCCTAGGAATACGTCTAACCAAAGAGATGAAATCCCTACAACAAGAGCCACAAAACACAGCTGAAATAAATTATAGATAACACAAACAAATGGAAAAACATTCCATGCTCCTGGATTGGAAGAATCAATGTCACCAAAATGTCCATACTGCCCAAAGCAATTTACGTATCCAATGATATATACGTTGGATATGTAAATTACAATTCCTATTAAATTACTGTCATTTTTCACAGAACTAGAAAAAAAATTCTAAAATCCATATGGAACCAAGGAAAAGTCCAAATAGCCAAAGCAATTCCAAGCAAAAAGAGCAAAGCAAGAGGAATAACATGACCTGAATTCAAACTATAGTGCAAGGCTACAGTATCCAAAATAGCATGGTACTGGTAAAAAAAAAAAAAAAAAGAAACAAACAAATAGACCAATGGAACACACTAGAGAATTGACAAATAAAGCTGCATATCTACAACCAACTGATCTTCAACAAAGTCTACAAAAATTAGCAATGGGAAAATGACATCTATTCAATAAATGATGCTGGAAAAACTGGCTAACCATATGCTGAAAAATGAAACAAGACCACTACCTCTCACTACATACAAAAATTAACTTCAAATGGGTTACAGACTTAAATGTATGACCTCAAACTATAAAAATCCTAAAAGAAAGCCTAGGATATATTCTTCTGGAAATTCACAGAGACATGGAAATTATGATTAAGTCTCAAAAGCAAATGCACCAAAACCAAAAATTGACAATTGAGACCTAAATAAAGAGCTTCTGCACAGTGAAATAAACTATCAACAGAGTCAACAGACATCTTACAGATTGGGAGAAAATATTTGTAAACTATGCATCTGACAAAGGTCTAATTCATATTCAGAATTCATAAGAAATTTACATAATTGAACAAGAAAAAATAACACCATTAAAAAGTGGGCAAGGAACATGAACAGACATTTCTCAAAAGAACACATACAAACAGCCAACAAATGTATGAAAAAATGTT